GTCCGTGAGGACAAGTACCGCCCACTGAAGTGCAGGTACTGAAGAGTTCGTCCCCTAAGTGGTGGCGATGTATAGTATGCTATCTAGGTATCGTAGGGTACAGTAAGGGTGCGCACCACCCAACCTATAGGAAGTGAATGTAAGTGTGTGGGTCCCGATGGAACGCCGGCAGCTGTGGGGAGTTTCGACCTAATGTCGCGACTTGAGGTCGAGCGACAGAGGAAAACCTGAAAGCTGGGGGCGTTCGACTGGTTCTTACCGAAGCGATGGTGAGCAACGCTCAAACCTAAGGCTAGGGACAAGGTAATATATTAGTGAGGTAAGAAAAGGAATACAAAGGATGCTTACTGACCTAGGGACAAGAGGTCGAAACTGAGGTCCCTAGGGCAGCAGAGGCCGGTTTATATACAGGGGAGGTTAAGGGCAGGCTGTGCGCGTTGGTCCGTGCGCAGCTGGTCTGTGCGCAGCATGCCAACGCGGCCCCGGGGGCCGGTGAGTCAGAGCGGCTGTGTCAGCAGAGCCCGAGCTGTGCCGTGCGCTGCCGCCCCATCTAATCTAATCGTACAGTAGATAACGACGTGTCCATATCAGGCAGGTAGTACAGAGGTCGCGGGTTCGAGCCCGCGAAAAGGAAAAAATTAAAAAACGGCTAGGCGCCGTACCAACTCGTGACAGCATCCTTTCCACGTGCACTTGAGATATCCCGCGGACACCGGTATGGTGGAAGGCCCGGCAGACGGTATGTCTTGTGATATTTTGTCGGGTTTCGTTTTGTGGTTCGAGTTAGCACTTCGTGGATAATTGGAAGTGGCAAAGAGAACATAATATGAGCTCAGCTCACGTGAATGCTTCGAGACCGGCTCCAACAGTGTCAGTGTTGTCACGACCGGGGTGAGGTCTGATACGTGTCAAAGTGCAGGCCCGAGATCTGCTTAAATGCAGCAAGCAACGCGCAGGCTCAACGGAAGGAAATGATGAAGTGCAGACAAAGTAACTGCGGCTCAAACATAATGACTTTCATTGTTGCGGGAATAGTACAACCCACGCAGAAGCACTTACTAGGCCTGCCCGTTTGTGGAAACCCGGGATGTGACATTGTCTTCGAAGGCTTAGGAATGTGAACATAGGAATTGCGTTGAGCTTGGAGTGTACAGTCCGTATGGAGGGCTGGACAACATCACGCACAGACATACAATGGGGAAGCGGCGTTCACTAGACCATTGTACATCGCCCTTCTTGACCGCATGAAGTACGTCGAAATGGCAGTCACTCCCGAGAACAATCAATAATTATACATGTTGGAACAAGGGTGCGAACGGCGCGGGGCGCGTTTGTCCACGGGCGTAGCGATGCCCGTAAGGGACAATCGCGTGCGGTACGTACATCGCGCGGGGTTGTTATATACTACGATAGGGGCCTCCGGCCCCCGGCTACTCGCGCGCCCGAGCTTTCGAGCTCGTTCCTGACCACGCGGGGCTGCGCGTTTCAACAATACAATGCGTGCGCCGACCTTGCATGTAAGTCTCTATACTGCACTAAATACCTGATAGTCAGTAACAAGTCCGTTCAGTAACGCGCCGCGTCAAGCTGCGTCCACAAATGCCCGTCACGGATAGGTCGCATTGTAGAAGATGTCTACAGACCCTATGCGTCAGCGATTTCTCAGAATCGAAGTACTTGCTGCAATGGCGCGGCATCCCGGTGGCATTCTACAGTGTCAATTCATGAGCTCCACAGGGACCGAGTGCTCACGCTCCAACGAGGACTGTGTTTGTCACATATACACATGCAAGATGACTCCACAATAATACAAAAGAAACATACGTAGATACAGAGGATATGAGCAATCTGCTTGTACGGTGAACACCCTCCATGGACGGGCCAGAGCCTGAGGTCGCGTTCACTGTTGGTTTGTAAAGTTCTGTTTGTCTTTCACACTGCGGACACAGTGGACGAAGGAGAAAAATGGCAGGTCGCCAATCTCGTTGTCGGTTGAGCTCGAGGTTAGTCTGAAAACAATCAATGCCAGGGGTCAAGCAGAGGTCCAACAAGGTCCAACAGATGATCGATCGCCTCTGGCAACCATTAGGACCCCAGACACACCTGCCGCTCGCATTGATGGCATAGAACAAGTGAGGTAACAACCGACCTCGATGCAATCGTGGATATGGACATGCCATGTAGCGTACAATGCCGAGTTGCATTGGTCATTTAAACTCCAGATTCTAACCTAGAAATACACAGCCTTGCAGTAAACTTCAGGATATATACCATCTGTTCAGACAAAGGTCCGAACAGACCCACAGAGCTCATGTCCATTGACCAAATACACAGCACATTGATTCCTAAAGAGAGGGTAACAGGATACATCGACTACAGATACAATTCAGATGGTATACAGGGACTAGATGCGATGAAGGTATAGATACAGCACTGTTGAACAACATGACCACAAGCGAACCACAGCTAGACAGCACAAGAAAGCAGGAAGGATGAGATGCAAGCACTATGAACGTGGAGAGAGAATAAGATAGTTCCGACACTGAAAAAGTAGATCATGCTCGGTACGAAGGCTGCTTCGCATACATCGCCCGCTCGTCCTTCTCGGCAAGGAGCGTTTCTCGATCTCCTGACTGGAAAGACCTCGTCTTCAGAAGGTTCTTCAAGCACTTCTCCAGCATCATCCGCTTGTGGAACGCGTCCTTGCGATGCGTACCTCCGCACACCTCGCAGAACTCGACCTCGTGTCCACACAGCCAGTGCACAGACTGGCAGTGCCTAGGGAATTCTTGCCATGACGACGTCGCCTTCGTGCTTGCAGAATGCCCAAGCATCCGCCCTTGAACGCATTCCGCATGCGGACACCAGCACGGTTCGCTCGCCTTGACGATCGTCTCCTGCGTTCTTGTGCGGTTGAGTCGGCGCGGCGCATGCACTTGCCGCATGTGCTCTACCACGTCTCTCACCGTGCCGACAGAACCCTCCTTGTGGCAATTCCAGACGCACCGTACCTCCGGCTCGATCTCTGGACCCGTATGCCTCAGGAGCGGCTCGTGGGTCTGTACATGCGCCCACATGTCATTCACCGCGGGCACGTCGCGAACATCACATTGGGGCCATGTGCAATCGCGAGCATGCGTCACTGCCCGCGGCCCATTCACGATTTTTCTCCGCTTGCGCGGAGGCACCTCTGATGATTCCGGCTCCTTCCGTTTTGTGCCATGCTGGGAGCTGTACACATCGAAGATGGAGTGTCAGTAATCATATGTAAGTGCTGGGATGCGTGACACACACCTCGATGACGATGATGCAACAGAGTGCGGATGGTTCTCGTCAATCTGGCCGGAAGGGGCGCCAAAACAGGCAGAAGATTTCAGAACCGTAGCCCTGAGGGAAGAGGACCAATGTCAACATTTTAAAAATCTGGATGAGGAAACATTACTTCGGCGCGATCCCCCGTGAATGAATGATATCCCAGCTAGATAAAAGGTAGCTGCAAGTCAGCAGCGATTAATGACCGCCAGCGCAAAGACATACAGGCTGGGTAATAGGACGGAGAGGATCAGAGCCTCTGCCTCTACCGTGGGGTTCTCGCTAAATAAGGTGTTTTCCTCATGAGTCGATAACTCTTGAGACATCGGGGTCCTACCTTACGAGGATCTCCTCGATATGTGCTTCGCGGTCCTTGATGTTGAGTGCGCAATCGACCGCGCTACAGATACATGAATGAGTACAAGCGGCCACATGGTTCGGAATTGTTATGAAGGCAGTACCTCGTGTTGCAAAGTCGGTCGACATCAATGATGTCTTCCAGCTTAAGGTCAGTGGCGTCGATTGCGGGCATTGCTATTGCTATATGACCATATTCGGAATTATAGGAGAAGATTGGTGGGTGGGTAAAAAGGGAGAAGGCGGGTGTGGGGGTAGAGAGGGAGAAGGCGGGTGTGGGGGTGAAAGAGAAAGGGGAGGCTCGTCCATGGGTCGCCTCTTAAACCCGCGCGCTAGAGGAGGAAAACAGACCAAAATAACGCGTCCACCGCGCACGCGCACGGCAGCATATGCGACCAAATACACCACGCACCAATTGTCCCCGAAAGCATCATACAACCCTACATTCGATACCACGCACAAAGGACCGTGCAATCAATGGCTCAGAGCCATTGGACTCGTGGTTATCACCGCATATGAACATGCCAGATGCCTAGCCGTCTGTGCCACTCAACGCCATCATCTCCTCCAACCCGCATGAGTCACATAGCGCGACGCGACTGCTGGTTATTGAGGTGCCTACTTCAAGAGATAGACACCGCCGTAACCTTGCCGCCGTTGAGAACAAATACAAAATCCCCCAGCACAATGCTCGCATGGTTTCCCCCCGTACTGGAAACGGCGACGAGTCTCCCTCAACAACGCTGCGATCCTTGTCTCCGACGAGACACCGAATTTGGACTCACCTGCTCCCGCGAACCATAAGCCACATCCCGCACCCAGACTATCCCCGAGGTCGTCCTACACTGTCCATGACCGGGCACCGACGGAGAAGGGCTCGACAGCTCAAGAATAAGAGTGGCGTCAATTGATAGTACACTTGTACAGTGCGACTTCATCACCTTGTAGTCTTAGCCGTTAGTCGGTGGTCTGCGCAGATGCCCCCAAATCCTATCCTTCCCTGTCCGTCACATCGCATGGCAGCCTGTGCAGATCAATTTTCACATTTTGTCCCGCAGACGAACGTGGGTCGTCCGGCATGTAGCTGCGCGACACATTCAACTCTGCCGCGTCTCTTCGGGGTACCACTGAACAATATCAGTTGAGTCAGTTGCTCCACAGACCACCCACATCCAACGACATTGGATGAGACGTACCAGAGGGAGTTACATCCCTTTTGACCGATCTTGCGAGTACATCGCGCGGCCTGAACGGAGCTGCCTGGACGAGGGAGTCTTAAAGGAACACTCAGAGAACATCTATCTGGCAAATAGTGCATCTTCTTGCCAACGGATTTCACCCAAAGCCCGGCGCGACGATACGGAGGGAACCCCAATTTGGGGTCGTCAGGATGTTCAAATACTCGATATCGCTCTTCATGGTCTGTGCGCTTCTTTTCGTTGTTAGTCACTCGATGCTCTCCAACGTTTCCCTCGTCAGCTTGGCTACAGACATTCCCCAAGCGTGGATGGACTCACCTGCATTCATGGGTGTACGAAGCAAGCAAGTGCTGCGGCCTTGAAAGGCCACCAAGCCACAACTCCATGGGTCAAAGCGTTCGGCGCCACTATCAACCCCTTTTCCACAACTCCACCACCTAGTCACTCCCGTCCGCTGTGGCACCGACCCTTACAACGTTTCCAATGTTCGCGCATTGGCCACGATTGCTTGCTATGGTTCACGCACTAGGCTTACCTTCCCATGGCGACGTCAGCCTTGAGCGCGCCGAACGGTACCTGTGCGGCTCTCGACAACCATCTATCACAGCCAGAGATAGAGCGACTCACTCCGGAGGTTGCACGCAGGGGTACTCGAGACTATGTTGGAGAATTGCATTGGTGTGTATTGGCGGGATGTTCTACATATGTATCCCACCCACCGTCTATTCTTCTACGCCCGCCACATGCAGAGGGCATGCGCTAAAAGAGCTCGAAGTGACCGCAGGCATCATAACGAGGCCGCCAGATTGCGGGCTCTCACACCATGGGGATGTCCCGGCATACACAAGGCGTCCAGTGCAGAAGCCTGAAGGGAATCTGAGCAGTGCAGATGAGGAACGTCAGTCACTGCTGATCCATGCGGACAGAAGATACACTGACCTATGCGAGCATCGCCGTCTGGCCACAAACATCACGTACAACCAGGTTTCAAGTTACACGACTCGCTAGCAAAAATAGAACCCGGAACTATGGTATACGCTCCCAGCCCGCGAGCAGTCGCAATCACAAGTAACACCAACTCTCAAATCATGCAAACACTCTGGAGTAAAATGACAGAGCATCATGAGTCTTGACGGAGTCCTCTGTCAAACTTACAGGGAAAGCCAAGTCCATTGGTTAAATGGTATGTCACTCCCGAACGTAACGCTGCATCACGAACTTGAAAAGAACGAAATGCTACATGAATTTGTGCAGCTACAAACTTTGCAGTTTCCTGTATTGTAGGCTACACCAGCGGTGACAGCACGAAGTTGTCTTGATTCTTTCAGGTCAGAGCTGCTCATCATCCATTCCTGTCCGTTCGACCTCATACATTTCGTGGTGTTTGAGTAGCGTTGTATCCGATGCGAGCGAGATAATGAGGCGGTCGCTACTCGCCGCACGACCTGACGCACAGATGACGTGTCACTTACAATCGTCAACTCAGAACCACCGATGGCAAGTCCATGACGACATGAATCGCCCTCTAGATGGATGACATCTGTCTGAATCCTCGATGTCTCGAGAGCTTGCGAGACGGGTCAATAGGCAAACGCGGCAGGACTGAAATATAGCCGATGGGTTGAGAGCACGAGCGCCAGCTGAATCAAACAGCTGCGCGGGTATCGGCATCACGCTATTGTCATTTAGAGTTTCCGCCACAGCGGACTCGATGAGCGGCAGACGAAATGGTGAAGTCTTTGATTGAGGACTAAGATGTATTGCAAAGTCAATAATAAAAATCCGGAATCAGTACAGTACTTGTGTGAGTAATTTCTGCTCCCGGTGTTAGCCGAGGACCCTCGCAGAATGTCTTGTTCAAGCTTGTGCAGACAGCGCCGGAGTTTGATTTTTTAGAAATGTCGGCTGTGTGAGGTCAGAACCTTGACATCTGTATCCCGGCATTGACGATCATGAAAATGTATCTCTAGTTACATTACATCGAGTTTTAGAATGAAACATGGAGGCAGATCGCAAATTCTATTTAACGTTGTAGCCATGGTCGATTCGGATGAGAGACGCCGTGTGTATTTCAGCCTCAGCTGCAGCCACAGCAGGAGTTGCCCGATTTGGATGTTCCTATGTGCCCATGGTGACCTGGATCCTGCTGTCGATGCATGTGCTGGCGAAATAGATTCACCATAATTCTGCTCTGTCGGAACTGTAACCTTATTCTTGTGGGCTGGTAAACCCAATCCAAAGCCACCGGTTTCAATCGCCCCGCTCATGGACTGTATGATGACTCACATTTTTCTGAACGGGGAACTTAAAAGATTGCCCCTTCACTTGAATCATCCATGTCTTCTCTGCAAGCCCGGGGTTTGCTCAGACATTGATCTTCACTAACATCAATATTCGTCTTACGGTGCGTCGCATACATGTATGATCCGAGTCCAACGTGCATGTAACGGTTTTACACAAACCGTAAACATCACAATACGAAAGCATCATCGACATGTCGTTGGAGAAGTTCGCGGTAGCAGCTCTGGCAGTTCGTTCGCTCCTGCCTGAAACATCTCAACCTCTCCATATATGGCAGAGGAGCTCGTAGCACGCAGATCCGATAAATCCAATGTGTACCATAAATTGTGGAATTTAGATATTGTCTGTGGCGCCTTAGGCAACATTGTGATCATAGTTTGCTATTCTTGCTTCATGCATTTGTATGTTGGGCGCGAACTACTTCGAGGACTGGCGGGTGATGTCACAGTCCAACGTATGTAGCGTGGTAAGTCATCATCTGTATCTTAGCAAGATCTGCACTGACAGGTGCAACCCTTGATAGGAGCATGAGACCGTCAAGCTGCCTTGTAGCCCATTTAGACACCCACTGAGGTGGAGCAAATATGCCATATATGAGAACATAGACTCCACGATCATAGGGCTCAGAGTCAAAGCAGACGATCGATCATACATAGCGGACGCAAGGAGTGATATGCAGGCGAACTGACCTTGTTGCCGTAGGTCCGGCGCACGAGCAAGACGCATGTGGTGTTATATGCTCGAGTACGACCGACCACGGAGGTCCACATACAACCTGGGTTGTCGCGAGGCCTTGCCGCCTTCAATTGCTTGAATGATCATTGGCCAGGGGAAGGCACAGCGAGGATAAAGAGCTCACCAGACGAGATTCAGGCCGTTCACAGGCCGACCATCATGGACAAGAACCTGAAGGCCGCCTGTATCGGGATGCAATGTTTCCCTTGCCAAGACTATATGGGGCCCACAGAATCACGCAAGCAGATGTGATCGAGGACGCATTTTGCAATCGACAGTAAGCAATGAGTGGTCACAGCATGACAGACTAGCATGGCTTATACTGCAGATCACCACGGCTTCGGCCACCCGTGTAAGGCCCTCGGCAGTACACTGTTTGCTGCTTGATACATCGCCACGCACCGAAGAAAACTTGGCACTAACACAGCGTCCACAGCGCGCCATGCTCTGTGACTTGTGAATGGATTGTTCATCGATTCCAAGAGAGCTTGTTACTGCGCAATGGTTGCGGCGGGAAGTAGCACTCGGTCGTTTCCGACGTGGAGTGATCCAAGGCTTCACCAACTGTCCTGGGTCAGACAATGTGGATGATCATGAAGGTAAGAAGCCTACTACGTGAATTCGATGTTATACGCCCCCTGGTTCAGAAAGCTTTGCCGCAAGAATCGAGGAAAGCTTGTCAAACCGACAAAAATAGGTTAGTATCGTATCCAACAATAGTGAGCGAGCGAGCAGACACAACTGCGTGGGCACTTTCACTGCACACTGTGACGTTGCTGATGCTTCTTCTTCACCAGGACAATGGGGCGCGCACCAGGCTGTGGGGGCCATGTCTGATTTTTCTTCACACTGTCAGCTCCGGGTCAAATTTCAGGCTCTACTCTTTTAGTTCTCTACCCAGTACAAAGGGATCCGTAAAGCCAAGTGCTAGAAGCGAAAATGGGAGTGAAGAGGAACGCCCCAGATGCACGGGAAGGAGGACGGTGAGTGGCACAGTAGGTGGACCCCGATCCATCGCCGAATCTGGTATGTGCGTTGTACTTTAGGTCGCTCATGGCGACCGCAGCTTGCATTATGGCTTATCTGAAACAATCTGTAGGGCTACAGAGCTCGCATTCGACGCGAGCGTGACTTCTCGTTGGTTGTTGAACGCGTGAACTCTATTATCCACCTGCGCGCTTCCCATGGCTTGACAGCGTTCCCGCCACGGTCCGTGTCTATTTAACCCGCGAGTCGCCTTGCTTGTGTGCAACCAACGATACCCCACATCATTTCTTTCCCTACCCTGAACAGAATCAAAGCCAAGACTCATCTCTCAAAGAAGTCACTATGTCTATGCCTTTCAGCTTCGGCGTGTTCGCTTCCGAAAATGACGGGTACGATGATATTTCTACTCATTGTATTGGTGCTAAAAATATTCGCAAATTCAAGGAATATCATTGACGCGTTGCGGTCAGGAAGGCCAGCATCGCCTTCTGCTCTCGACGCTCTCATGCACTTCAGGCCTCGACATCGATCAGCGTACTTCAAGCGGAGGTACGTAGAACTCGACAGCGACGCCGAGGAAGAAGACACGGATGCCGTCGAGGGCCTCTATTCAAGCCAGGCCGTGTCTTACAGCGATCGCGCTTCCATGTCACCACCGCGGAAGAAGCGCGCGCTCGGCGCCAGCCACGAAGAATCGGAGGCGGACTGCGATGAAGAAGAGGCGATTGTCGAGGACACACAGGCATCAAGTTCCTCGAGTGCCCTTCGACGGTGCACCTGGCACACATGTGCTGCAGAGGGCGACGACGACTTTCTCGTCGCCCACATTCTCTCCGTGCACCTCCCGCTGAAGCGGGGCTTCCACAGCGGACCAGCGGGCGTCACTTGCGAATGGCGCGACTGCAGGCACACCGGCACCCCAGAGTCTGTGTGGCGACACACGAAGGAGGTCCACAAGGCGGACGCCCAGCAGCTGGCAACCCAGCTTGGAGGCGTCGGACGCAACGGAACGTTCCGCTTTCCGTGCCAGCGGGAAGCTTGCCGGCTCAGGGCGTTGAGGGCAGAGCCTGTGGACGACCAGGCGGATGGCACGGAGCGACAGATTGGCACCGTGCAGTGGACACAGTTCAAACGGCACTGCGAGTCCGTCCACTGGAAAGCTGGCTCGCTAGTAGCCCGCTGCGCGCTTTGCGGGTTCGTCGACCGCAGGGAGTCCTGGAAGCGCAGGAACCATACAACTGGGTGCCTGAGCCGGTTCATGGCGCTACCTGCCTTCATGCGTGGGGACGCGACGGACGAGAGCTTGCTCTCCTACCAGTATTCCTCCCGGTGACCCGCCGATCACTTACCTGCATCTCGCTTTCCTTTCGTCTCACTGACTCCGCAGCATATTTTTATTACGCGCATCGGTACATACTGTACACCGTCCACTGCTCTCCTGTTAATTGTCTCGTGCTATCATCTGGTTATTTTTGCTCGCTTATCCGCATCATCTTTGCTCGTGCATTTGTATTGATATCCCGCATCATCCATCAATGCTCTTGTCTATCTGCTACATTGTTACGTCGTGTATCCAATAAAAGTTCCTCGCCGCAGGGCAGACACTATCCACACGTCATCCAGGCCTCCCCAGGGCACAAGAGCTCATTATACACATATATTGTGACATATTCAACGGCATCTATAAGTCTATTCTAAGCGCACATATAATCTCGTATAAACACATCCGCACCCTCCACCAACGCCAAAGCGTCGAGCTCCATGCCTCAGAGGTGCTTCCTCAGCGTCCGAATCTCCGCGCCTAGGTCCAGCGCGCGCTGGCCCTCGAGCCAGAGCATCGCTTCTGCAACGCCACCCATGATGCTGTCAGCACACGACGTAGCGCAGGAGCACGCGACACACCTTTGTACGTCTTGGGAACGACGCGCCGCGCGAGGGGCTTGCCGCCGTCAACGCACCACGTGAAGCGGAAGTCGTTCGTCGTCTCCTCGCGGCCCGTCGCGACGTCCACCACGTTCGCCTGCACGCCGACGTGCTGTGGCGCAGAAGACGGAACCAGAGAGTCAGAGTTTCAGGGGGGGGGGGGTCAAAGAGTCAGGGGTCAGACGTCAGTGCGCTGCGACGTGAGTGGGACTTACGATGAGCCCGGGGAACTGTTCCGTCGACGACGTGTGCAGGACGTGCGAAGTGAGGCGCAGAATAGAACCGATCGGGACGGGCTTAGCGAACGCGATGCCGTCGAGCGAGAGGAAGAGGACGTGACCACCCGTGTACAATACCGAATTGGCGAAGCCGAGCTGTGCGGGAACTGGTGAGATGACGATGAGAGACACCAGCAGCAGCACACACGCACCTCATACGCGAGCCGCATCAGGTATCCTGCAGGCAAAAGGCGCGGCTGAGCGCCACCCGATACTATATCCAGCGTCCACACTCACCACCAAAGATCTTCTGGTGTACGCTGCGCCATGCATCAGTCGGGGGCGGTCAGGGACACGGGAAGGCGCGCGACGCACTTGCGCTCCTGGGGGAACATCATGAGGCACTTCTCGAGGCGCGTGTCGCCCATCCACACGCGCTGCATGCCGTCGGGGCTCGCATATTCCGCGTCCTCTTGCTGGCCATATGTGAGGAAGAGCGTGTGCAGCGCCTCGGCCTCGCGCGACGTGGGCGGGACGAGCGTCAGCGCAGCGCTCGCGCGTGTCTGGCGCTTCGTCTTGTGCGCTGTGCGTGGAAGACAACTCGGCGTGAGCGCGCGGGAAGGCGGATGCGGAGAGTAAGGGCCCACCTTCGCCGATGTTGAAGAGCATCTGGTCCTCGGGCGTCTCGATGCTGAGCGGGTTCACGGGCGCAGCCTTGTGCGTGCGCGCATCCCTGCAAACCATGAAGAACCGGCCTGTGCGTACGCGTTCCGAGTGCAAGACATGATACCATAATGCGTGATAGAAGAACCAGAGATCAGGAATGCGGAAAGGGCTACAAGGGAGGGCAGGGGGTGCGCACCGACCATAATCGTCTCCTCACTGCCGTCCTTCTCGAGCGCCTCCATGCGCACGGCGATCTCCATCGAGCTGCGGCCGGTGTGGATAACCTGACCGCTGAGGCGCATATCGCGCACGGGGTAGAGTGGCGCGAGCATGTCGAGTCTGCGGAGCGGTGAGCATATGAACTGGGCAAGCAATGGCGTGCGCTTGAGAATAGATGGGTTTGAGAAAGATAGAACGGCACAGATAGGCGTAATATCTATTCTGTCACCAGGATGCAGGGGTAGGGGAGCACAGCGTGGTGCGTATCACACTTAGACGGGGAACACGGCTACAACGCCATCGTAAAAAAGGCGCGCCAGAAGCATAATCCTCAGTAGAGAAGCTTATGGGCGAGCCGTGATAACGTTTCACATGAGCAAGCAGGAGGTGTAACAGAGACAGTATTCTCCCCCGAGAATGGGGCGATAACAAAAATGGGCCGAAAAGAGAAGAGGACAGTGGCTTACCTATCTACCGAAGCAGTGACAATGTATATGCCCTGTTTCTTCGACAACGAGTCGAAGGTAGGACCAAGCACGTGTCGATATGCAATGCTACCGGCGAGAGAGTCGAGGTGTTCCATGAGCATGCCAGTACGGATGCCACCGGAGGCGTTGATGTACTGCTCAAGGAGCTCAGGGGAGGACGCGAAGGGGAGTACGAGCTCGCAGTATGATTCGTGCATGTTTCTGGGTGTGTCTGCCGTGGGGCGGGCATCGGAGGACGTGGTGGGATCGGTGGTGCTTGGAGGGAGGTTGTTCCGGAGGAGAGCCTCAGACCAGAGGCTGCGGGAGCGGACCGGGAGGAGACTATGGCAAGGCGGCATGAGCGGGATGTTGCAAAACAAGACAAGTAACATGCGATTGGTTCGCGGAGTCTGCGCGCTTGCCTGCGGGGGTGGGTGGGTTAGCTGAGAGCACAAGGATGTTACTAGGACGGAGAGGGCGCACGAAAGATCTTAAGGAGCCTATCTAGCGTCGTGACTTCGTGGGTCTCCTCAGCCGCACCCAATTCATGCTCGCGGGTGAGTATGGATGTTGAGTTGTGGCGCGGGGAGGACGTCGACAGTCTGCGGCTCAAATTGAGGGCAGAGAGATGGGCAATTGGTGTGGCCCGGCGTGGTGTTTTATTGCGAATGCAACGGGCGAGGGAGGAGATGCTTGTTCTCGACAGCATGGTGGAATTCGAGATGGGTGTAGCTGGGGACAGGAGCTTGTGGCCCAACCCAAGGATCGCCCTGACGTCGACATTAGACGCCCGCGGGTTAGCGTCGGCCGGCCCCGTGTCGGACACGCGGTGCAGATCGATCTGTGGGACCTTGTGGTGCCGCTCCCATGTGGCCGCGTTGGCAGACTGGATACAACACATAGCAAAACACACGGTTTATATCTTAACTTATGGACTTGCTACAACCAAAATGAGTAAAGTGCCCTTGTCGACAAGACCAAAATGTCTGAATAGCAGGACCAGCACAAGTATACAAGGGACCTGCTTCACGAACGACGCCTCTGTTAATTTCTCCTTCTTACTTTGTACGTCACAATGCCTATCTCTGATTGTACGTTCTGCCCGCGCTTACATTATGGAATGACAGGTGAAGCCCAATGCCATCCGCCATTGTGCGCACTCCACCATGCATTCTTGTCTAGTCTGCTAGCGGACCGTTTTGTGCCAATTGTCAGGCACCTTCGCTCAGTATAAATACAAGGAATCTCGTCCCAACAAGATACTAATGCTACCACTCACTTCTGCTGCAATTACTCATTCTGCTCATATCGCATCCCGCCCATAATGGTACATGCATCCTTTAATCCTATATGTACGTATTTCGATTCATAACGAATGTGTTCATTACTAAATCCTTCCTCTTATACCACCTGCACCTACCTTTTCCTTCTCCCTCTCCAGATGCAGACAGATATTCTCGTCTCATAACCCCACAATTACTCATACACCATTCAAACCGAGCTAGAAGTATCGCGTCCTCCCATGATTTCGAATACAATCATATAGCAATGACAATGCACGCGTCGACACCTTCAACTGAAGACGCCACTCACGTGAAACTCGAAGACATCATTCATGTTGACAGGTTATGCGATACGAGGTACTGTCTTTATGACAACTCCGAACCGTGTGTCCGTTTGTACTTATTCATGTAATGCAGCGCGGTCGATGACGTATCATATGTTAAGCATAGTAATACACAAAACCAGGCAATCTCTCAAAGGTAGGTCCCCGATGTCTCAAGACTTATTGACCACGGAGTGAAACCCTTTGTCTAGCGAGATACCTGCGACCGAGGCAGAGGCTCTGATCCTGTCCGTCCTATTACCAAGCCTGTATGTCTTTGCGCTGGCGATTATCAATCGCTGCTGACTCGCAACTACCTTTGATCTAGCTGGGATATCATTAATTCACGGGGGATCGCGTCAAAGTAATGTTTCCTCATGGAGACTATCTAAATGTTGACATTGGTCCTCTTCCCTTAGGGCTATGGTCCTCGAATCTTCTGGCTGTTCTGGCGCCGCTTCCAGCCAGATTGACGAGAACCATCCGCACTCTGTTGCATCATCGTCATCGAGGTGTGTGTCACGCATCCCAGCACTTGCATATGATTACTGACACTCCACCTTCGATGTGTACAGCTCCCAAAATGGCACGAAACAGAAGGAGCCGGAAACATCCGAGGTGCCTCCGCGCAAGCGGATAAAACCCGTGAATGGGCACTCGCGATTGCACATGGCCCCAATGTGATGTTCGCGACGTGTCCATGGTGGATGGCATGCGGGCGCATGCACAGATCCACGAGCCGCTCCTGAGGCATACGGGTCCAGAGATCGAGCCGGAGGTGCGATGCCCTTCGACACAAGGTATACCCGCGCGTCCGTACTTCTCCAGAACGGTGCACCTGGCGCACATGTGCTGCCGAGGGCGACGACAACTTTCTCGTCGCCCACATTCTCTCCGTGCACCTCCCGCTGAAGCGGGGCTTCCACAGCGGACCAGCGGGCGTCACTTGCGAATGGCGCGACTGTAGGCACACCGGTACTCCAGAGTCTGTGTGGCGACACACGAAGGAGGTCCACAAAGCGGACGCCCAGCAGCTGGCAACCCAGCTTGGAGGCGTCGGACGCAATGGAACATTCCGCTTTCCGTGCCAGCGGGAAGCCTGTCGGCTCAGGACGTTGAGGGCAGAGCCTGTGGACGACCAGGCGGATGGCACGGAGCGACAGATTGGCACCGTGCAGTGGACACAGTTCAAGCGGCACTGCGAATCCGTCCATTGGAAAGCTGGGTCTCTGGCTCGCTGCGCGCTTTGCGGATTCGTCGACCGCAGGGAGTCCTGGAAGCGCAGGAACCATACAACTGGGTGCCTGAGCCGGTTCATGGCGCTACCTGCCTTCAGGCGCGGGGATGCGACGGACGAGAGCCTGCTCTCCTACCAAAATTCCTCCCGGTGGCCCGCCGATCACCTACCTGCATCTCGCTTTCCTTTCGTCTCACTGGCTCCGCAACATATTTTTATATAACGCGCATCGGTACATACTGTACATCGTCCCGTGGCATGGAGGGTTCTGTCGGCACGGTGAGAAGCGTGGTAAAGCACATGCGGCAAGTACATGCGCCCCGCCGACCTAACCGCACAAGAGCGCAGGAGACGATCGTCACGGCAAGCGAACCGCGCTGGTATCCGCATGCGGAATGCGTTCAAGGGCGGACGCGTGAAAATTCTGCAGGCGCAAAGGCGACGTTGTCATGGCAAGAATTCCCTCGGCATTTCCAGTCTGTGCACTGGCTCTGTAGACACGAGGTGTGCGGAGGTACGCATCAGAAGGACGCATTCAACAAGCGGATGATGTTGGAGAAATGCTTGAAGAACCTTCTGAAGAGGATGTCCTTCCAATAGGGAGCACAAGAATCCATTCACGAGCCGATCCTGACGCATACGGGTCTGCAGGTCAACCCCGAGGTGCAGTGCGTGTGGGACTGCAACCCCAAGGGCTCTGTCTATATGGTGTGGAAGATGCTCGAGAAATGCCTGAAGAACCTTCTCGGGATGAGGTCGCTCTAGAGTGGAGTGATAAGCACACTATCCTTCTCAGATGCAAACGAAGGCAAGGCAACCAGAAATAACCCTGAAGGCATCGTAGTCCCTTCTCCGGATATCTGCTCTTTCCAGACGTCTTGCACACATTTCATGCTGAATTGAATATTCGCACCTCTGCTTAGCATTCATCTATATACGCGGCGGCCTTCATGCCGATCCCAGAGCGTCCCATTGGGGTGTACACATAAGGATGTATGAAACCCCCGCCCTGTCGAACGTCAGTAGACGGATGTCGAATGAAACCGTCAATTTATTATGATTATACCCTGAGTTGCTTCTATAGGCCGGAGAGCACTTCTTTGTCAGAGGGGAAACAACACATGTATATGGCAAGGGATCCCAATGATACGTGGTTGAATTCCGCTGGCGTGATCCTACGTACTTACATTCCTTGGCGCACGGAACTAAAGGTAAGAATTTCCTTGTACGCTGCCGTGACAAGGCCCTCCCATACGCTTGCTCGTTTTCTGCACTGTACGCAGCCATCTAAGCAATGTACCTGCGAGCTGAATATGTTTCCAATACCAAAGTCTTCCATGCGTCTCAACTTGTTTAGGACGGCGGAGTGGAAGTCGGGCCAAAGGTGGCAGCTCGTAGCAGCACCTTTGTGAAGAAGAGGTGATGGGATTTCGTGATCCTCCCAGTTTTTCCGTAAAAACAGGCGGAGCCATGGCTCCCGATACAGAACCTGATTCTAAGATGAGCAATACCCGCAGACTACAAGACGTATTACAGACCCAGATAATAAATGTCGCCGGGCCAAGGTGTTTGGACATGTCTTCCACAGACGCGTTGATGGTCAAAGGAGCAGCTTCATCGCAAAGTGTCGCATAATCATGTCTACCTGCATATGCTAGGACTTCGACAGGATGCAACGGGATAGATGCTCTTCATCGGGAGACACAGATGCGTGAACATTCCATAGTCATAAAAGGCCAATTAACTCATCATATACATCTTACATACTTCGATAGCCGAAAAGACCTGATACTTCTCCGCGGCTTCAGCGAGCTGAGCCAGTGTCTCGAAAGGCACGCATAATAGATCAGGTTGCCGCTGCCGATACATATACTGGAACAGAAGTTCCAGTGCCGCGGCGGTCTCGCTAAGCTGCACGACTTCATTTTGTGTAGCAAGATCATCTCCCGGGAAGCCCTCGGAGTACATCTCTAGGTTCCTCCTATGGACTCGGAATAGTACGCCATCGCTTGACTTCATCGTGATATCAGATTCACCGGTGCAGACTACAACGATAATCCATCAGTACTAATACACAGTGTCACCGACCCTAGACTGACACCATTTGGAAACAGAAGACGCTTCCTTCATGGCTTGGTGTCTTGTGAGAGTACGGTAATACAATGAGCGGTACTTGGCGTAGGTGAGTCTTATGGCGGGACAGAAGAGAACGGACTCAACCTGAGATTGATATTCAAAAAAGGCCTCGCGGCGTGGGAGCGTGCTCTATTTGAGAAGCCCCTTGCAGGCCTCGTGTACGCGGGTTTCGGGAAGGACTGCTTCCTTCTGTAAACATGGATCCACACTGCACCACGCAAAAGGCAATATCAGAGCTATCTGTATTCCAAGCGTGGCAGCATCAGCCTCATGCACTGAATTTAGCCGTGTCGTATCTTCAGTTGAAGCAGCGAGAGTAAGTGTTCTGGATGTCCGTGGCAATAGAACATGTTTGACCTCGGTCCTCAAAGCAGAGCTCGCGGTCCAAATTGAACGTCACGCGGAACCTGCTAGCCACATCCGAGATTCTTGTTCAAAGTCCACAATGAGTGCGGGCCTTGATGTTCAAATAGGTTCGAAATTTCGGAAGTATGACAGGTGCATTCATAGTTGCCGCCTCAATGTTGCTGGAAGATGCGAGGAACGAGCGACCAACATAAGCGGCAGGGATCTCATGTCAGCGACAAATAAGCGATTGATTGTCGCAAGCGCTCGCAGATTAGGCTGGCTCACCACGGCATGCCACATAACACTCACTAAGTACACCAAAGCATCGCAATGTCGGAATGTCATCATTGATATACAACTTCATCAAGACTCGCTCATCGTGTTCAATTGTGTATAACTGACCAGCATTATTCACGGTGACGCATTTCCCATATGACTGACTAACATGGCTTTCGAGTCATCGCGAGATGGGAGGTTGGGTGAATGAATGTTTCTGCTTGTGACACACTGTAGAGAGTGATAAATTTCGTCTGAGACCCGAAGCGAGAACGATCGACAAGATATATCGCGTTTGTCTGAGCTCTGTCAAACGCGTAAGGAACGTACAGAACAGCTTGCACAAAGTCTGCAAGGTATTACAAACAACACCAAATACGATGGCGTGCGCTCGCCACAATCCCAAGCTCCAACAGAGAACCTCCAGCAAGGTCTGACTGTTTCGTAAAGGGATCTCTCCGATATCCGAGACATGTAGTGGTCTCTGCATCGCGTTCAGCTATTGCCTTTCCACTTATGTAAGATAAAACACACCAGTATGAACTTCACGAAGCATCACTCAGACGGCGTAAGCTTTGCAGCAATTTGTGGGTTGGCTGTGGAGGCTCGCTCGTATGGTCCGTAGCAAGATCCGACTGCGAGACGAGATAATCGAGAATGCTGACAACCGACGGGGTATATACACTGGCATCAATAGATGCGACATCGACACTGGCACGAAGGAAATTGTGGACCAGACAAGAACATCTGTCGTCTAGAGCTGCTTGTCCGATTGCTTCTCCCACTGGAGAATGGGGTTGCTCAATGGCCACCTCGACCAGATCTTGAACCTCTTGACGAATAGCCGCAAATTCCTGCGGGGAAAGCTTGGCAGCAAAGCGTAATATGGTGACGACAACCCTGAGGTGCGATACTGGATCAAGGTCTCTCCCTACGGCTCTCGCGCTCGTAGTCAGGATCCTTATGTCTAGGGGATAACAATGAGTTCGTGTTATGTTCATGCGAATACAGATATCCGCTAACTTACGATCAGCCCTTACTGAGACATTATCGCATAGGAGATACACCCAGAAGATAACTTTGGATCGTACCTCCACCGACAAGTCCGACCTTCGTAGTAAGGCAAACAGGCGGCAATAGACTGATACCGCCGCCTGTGCCCGTGGCATGGCATACAAGAGACTGTCGAGAATCTGTAACACGCATGAGTAGTGCGAGTTCCATGGTGCAAGCCTGGTGAACATATCGAGGGTGATGTGCCCCATGATCATTAGAGGTTGAGTGTCTTCCTCGGTGGAGTACCACACGAGGGAAGGGGGACTCGTGGAGTTGTCCGACCAATGTGCTCTGCGTTGCAAAATGCTGTAGAAAGCGGGAATAGCTGCCTTGAGGTCTGTGCTCTGCAGACAAGGCCGAACAACGTGCTCGAGGAAAGACTCGTCCATGATGACCGCGTCCGCCTCGACCAGCATGGCTAGCTTCTCGTCGGGGTTTTCAACGCGAGAGCGTACAGTGTAGCTATCAACATCTCGCCAGTCTACAAACTTCCATGCGTTCTCCAACGCATTGCACCAAACGGAGAGGAAATCCCATGCTGGTCCTGCGACCCGTTTTCGAATGCCTCGATGATGCAGGCGGATCTCGCTGCATCGATGGCGAAGTCGAGTGGCAAAAGGATGAAGAAGGGTTTTGAACCATCGAAGGACGAGGAAAAACCACCATGCCTGCGGCGTCTTGTACGGGCAATTGGGTGCGAACGCGGGGATGAACACTGTGCCCATGGAAACAATCAACAAAACGGCAACCAAAGGCGTCACTATCCCGGCGACGATGGTATTGAGTGTCCATAACAGCTCGACAAGACCGACGAGGAAGAGCGCCAGGGAGATCTGAAGAAGTACCGGAAGGATTCCGATGATTTCGGGAACCCACCACTCGACAAGTCCTTGGCGCCGAAAGTACCATATGCGAGAACTCTGGCGAGACAACGTTGCGGCGCGATTGATATGATGATGAAGCCACTGATTCACATATAGCGCGATGGAAGCTGCACTCAGACTGAAGACGAGGGCCGAGAACCAGAGTACGTTGATGGATATAGCCGAGGCCGCTACCCCTATGTTTGACTGCGTGAGGTCGAGCGTCGGAGCAGGAATGGGAAGCGATGTAGCTGTGTGTCCATGCGCTGCTGCTAGAATGCGTAGCTGCTCCGACATCATAGCTAGAAGCTGCGTAGTAGCATCCGGCGCCTGTGGCTGGAGAGATACATAGTACTGCACATTGAAGGCAGTCAATGCTGATGAAAAAAGGCCGGCCTATAAGCGAATCATTAGAGATTAAACTCGCAGCACATTTTCGAACGGAAGCCAAGCGAGTCTATGATAGACAATCTGAGGTGCGCAGATCACTCACAAAAACAAGCGAAGTATTGATCTCATCCTTCCATTTCTCAACTGTCTCTAATTCATGTTCCCATGCCTGCCGTGCACACTCTGCCCACGCTTCTGAAGCGTCTCCGTGAACGGGATCAAGGGGATGGTCCTCGATATTCTTCTGCGGAGAAAAATACGAGGAGTCTTGCGATGGTTGCTCAGGATCCCATTTCGTCCTATCAGATGCATCCTATGTAGACGCGGGTCGTTAGAACCATCATGAGCAGATTGTGATAATTACTTACTGAGGTCGTCCCGGCGCTACCAGCACGCGAGCGACTCTGCTTTCCGTACGCAGAGCGGCCATCACTTTCGGTGGGTGCACGAAAATCATGCGATTGCATACTGGCATCTCGCACTGCTCCCTCTTTGACAACATCGAGGTCATCATCTGTTGTGAGGCAGGCAAGACTGCGAGATGTCTGTAGCGGGATGGCATGCGAATTCATCCGTATATCGTCAGGCTCGCCAGTCATGTGTGGAATGATATGCATAGACTTCAGTCGCCTAGACCGCATACGATCATGTTTGTTCGCCATGATGCATCCACAGAGTATGAGTAAATGTGTATGGATAATGAGCAATCGTGGTGTGTACAGGTTCGCTCAATGCAGCTGAGCGGCAGACTGCTCGAATCGCAACAGCTCTTTGGATAGTGTAGATAAGGCTGTACATGCATAGCCCGAGTTGCTTCTAGCAATGCAAACACGCTTGTCAAGTGGTTTCTGACAGGGAAGATGAGAAGTAATCAGCACAGCATTCTAGGACGTCCTTATTACCATTTGAGGCAGGCGCTGGCCGGGTCAGGGTCGGGCGCACGACCACCAGACCGATGAGCCCGGTAACGCTTCAAAATGGATACAGACGTTCTCTATAAATGTTGTAGATAGACGACATGTCATATCATGCGTCGAACAGAGGAGGCGCGCGGTAATCTGAATGGAATAGGACCGGTAGGGGAGGGAGAACATACCGACGTAAAGGATAGCATTGACACGTCTTACAAGCAAAAGGGTAAATTTTACTGATGAAGGCTTGACATGATTCGCGTATTAGTGTAAGTTATATATCTTGTCAGATATCGATCATCATGGGTACAGTACCCTGAACTTGCTCGGAGCGCTAGATTTGTGGGTGTCTTACTCTTGAAGCAGTCGTTAGTGCCAGTGGGCTGCCTGAAAGTCCCAGCTGCATAAGAGGCCCAGGTTGAGTCTGTGCAGAAAACAAACGCAACGTTGTGTTTTTTGCAACGCAAGTCAATCATTTCGATGAACTAGGCGGCGTAGGTTGAAAGTCTCGGGAGACTAGCTGGTGTCGGCAATTGCCGTTCCAGTTTTCTCATGCGGCTCTCGACAAACATCGCATTTCTGTTTTGTTTCCGCCGACGGTTAACTATTGCGTGTTAAAGTTCGTCCGAGACCCGAAGCGAGAACGATCAACGAAGATATATCGCGTTTGTCTGAGCTCTGTCAAACGCGTAAGGAACGTACAGGACGGCTCGCGCAAAGTCTGCAAGGTACTACAAACATGGCCAAATACGGTGGCATGCGCTCGCCACAATCTCAAGTTCCAACATTGCGGGCTCATGTCCAGTGGTTCTAGTTATTAGCCCACATAGGTGGGTTGGACTCTGCTAACGATAGCACAATCGCGCTCGAAAACAAAACCTACAAGATAACAAAACCATCTGGTCACAAGCCGCCGACGGCTAGCCTAGACATTAGTGCATTTGTCTGAGTCCTGTAGAGTAAATGTGTGTCGATGTAAACGAAGAATTATTGTCACTAGTACTAATGGAACAAAATCTTACATTTGATTTGTGGTAACATCACTCGTTCATGCACTCGCGAGCAAGGGTCCCCGAAACATCGCTCGTCTTGAGAAATGAGTACATACTGGCTACTCAATGGCAGAGACTACTCGATTGAAGACGTACAAGAGACACTACCTGATTTCCATGGAAAGTCTCCTAATCCCGCACGTAAGGTTTCACGATCAACGGCATTTGCGTGCCTTTGTCCATCTCGCTGCGCACAAAGGGGCGCTGCACAAGTCCGATCTTCTTCATAATCTCCTGGGTAGGGACCGCCTGCTCAAACTCGAGACTGCGCACCAGCGTGAAGATCAAGGCCTTCATCCTGCAGAACACGCGGGTTAAGTGTGCGAGCAATTCGATGTAGGTACGGAACACGGACTCAACGAGCGAAAAGCGGTACCCGATGCACGCGCGCGGGCCGCCGAGGAACGTCATCATGTTGCCCCAAACGCCGGGGATCTGTTGGACAGCCTCGGACAGAGACTCCCATCGCTCAGGCCTGCGTTGTCCCGTCAATACATGACGTAGCACTCCGACTCGCAGCCATACCTGAATACCAACGCGTCGTCTCCCCACAGGGCTTTCGACCTATTCATCAGCACAATCGGAATGGAGAAGCTCGTGCCCTTCTTTATGCTGTGTATGTATATTGGGCATTCTTGTGCGTCAGCTCCATCTCACCGCGCTGCGTATGTCACGTACCTCACGCTGTCGTGCACGCGCCCCGCGGAGTCGGTGTAGGGTGTGGCCAGAGGGATTATGTCGTCCTTGCTCGCAATACGGAAGGTACCCACGACCGGAGGATACAAGCGCATCGTCTCGCGTATTACCGCGTCGAGGTACGGCAGCGCGTTGAGCTCGTCCATCGAGGGATTATCTGTTCGTATGCCCCAGAGCTCCTCGCGCAACTTATGCTGGACGTCGGGCTGATGGGAAAGTGCATACAGGCACCAAGTTGTCGCGTTGCTTGTCGTCTCGTGTCCAGCGACAAGAAATCTGTAGCAGCCGCTGAGCAGCATGACCGACAAAGTCTGAACGCGACTTACGTTGGTACCTCTGTCAGAAAGATCAGTACGCTGCAAGTAAATACGTTTTGTGCCACGTACGAGCGAGAACATCATCGTCTGAAAGACGTTGGTCCTCCGGGACGTCGGAACTCATGTTAGCCTTGATTAGCAGCGTGAGGAGATCACGGCTCTGCAGTGCGCTTTCGACACCCTTGTCACTAGACTGCGCCGCCTTCCGCACGGCCTCTTTCTTCTCTGCGATCAGTTGCATGCCGATCCGCCGTGTCACCTTCTGTGCGGCTGCGGTGCGCCTGGTGTAGCCGTCGGGCTATCAGTGTGGTAGTCAACGTATGATCGGCATCGGAGGCGAACAGCTCGGCTCACTATTCGGCGAAGTATTGGGAACATGGACCGTAAGAGGGGCCAGTAGCTACGCTCGAACTCGGATAAGTATGAAAACATGACTTCGAAGGCGGTGTCGAGCTCGTTGGGTTTGCCATCTGGGTTTAGCGCGCTGAACTCATAGTTGAAACCTGAGGTAGCTAGATGGTAAACATGGTGACCGGAAGCGCACAGACGATGCAGACTTGCCTGCGAGACCAATTACATCAAGCGTCATCTTTGTCAGACCGCCCTGGACATCGATCCGTGCAGTGCCTTCAGCGACTTCCTTTCTCCACATGTCACGCAACTAATGACAGAACATTAGAATGCGACAAACGTGGTGCAGTACTGCGAACCTGTTGCGCCTTCTCCACGAAAATATCTGTTAGTTCTCGTATCTGTGCAGGTCCGAACGCGGGATTCTATACCGTACGTTCAACAAATTGTTGGCTGGCAGGGTACTGACGTGAGTCTTACCATAATCCTGCGCTGCGGAGTGACTCTGTCCGTCAGCAGACGATACAACATCATTGATGCTATGACTAACTTCTCGGTGGTGCAATTCTCCTACAAGACAAAAATGTTATAGTGGTAGATCCTAAGCCCATGACGCAATACAGACCTTCCGCGACTACGAGTCCTACATGTGCATTCGTATTTCAACTACACGATCGAAAAACAGCATGGAGAGGGGCGCGAACCATTGCCAAGGATCTCAGTGAGATCGTGCCGGGTTCGCTCGGGCTTTGGATAATCCTGAGAATGACTAAGAATGTAATTGATCGCCCGCGTATCGATCGTGAGGAGTCGAGGTATCTATGTGTCTTGTAAGCACAACGACATTGCCCAGGCTGCTCGAACATACCTTGAACCAGATGTTAAACTTCAGCGTCGGGCCGTACTTCTCCAGCCATGCATCGTGCAGCATAAAGTTTTCAGAGGCTCTGAGGTCATTGATGCTGCCAAATAGCCAGTTTGAGGCTGGCGGTCCTGGAAGGTTGCGTAACGATGAAGTATACGGTAGAAGCAAAATTCGGCCATCTTCCAGCCAACCCAAGCGAGGATAGCGGCGCTCGCTGCCCAAGGTATATCGTGTGCGGTCAAGGTCAACATACTCAAGCCTTGACGAACGAGTGATAGACCAAGGGAGGGATATAAGCAACTTGGTCAATATTCTCAAGGCTGTGCAAACAATATCGCTGCTGCGAGTTTTGTCTGGATTCGGTCAGAGCACAGGCGGCGGGAAACTTACCGTGGACGACGAAGTGACAGTCCGCAGTCGGTCTCGTGAACTGCGTCGCCCTCGATAAATTCACATGGCTACGCGTAGCCGCAGCCGCTCTCCGGGCATAACAATGCGACTAGACATGAAGGTCGTTCCAACAAGGGTAGCGCGAACGACTTAAACCATCAAGGTGTCCAAAAGTAATATGTATATGCATTCGGGCGTTTATAGGGCGCCTATCCAGCTTCCGACGCCAAAACGACCTTTCTTCCCTCATGATCAAACGACTCGGACATCCTCAGCCCCTGAAGATATGCTGCCTATACAACCACCCGGGTTGATATGACCAGGAAAAAACTGTAATATCTGCCATTTGAAGGTCTTCATGTGCGCATGCTGCAAGAAACCAATAAACATTCTTTAACGTCTCACGTCCTTTCTTGGACGCTTTACTCCCTTCTTAGTTCACTCCGGACAGACGGCAGCATGCCTCGCTGCGAACTATATCGCGTGCGGGACACCTCTCAACGAACTTCACGCGAAGCTCCTGGCTCAATCACGGCGGAGGTCTGGGAGAGAAGTCAGTGATTGAGAGCTGTGGCGGCTGTCTATGGAATGGTGCGTAGCTACCATTGGATGGGTTCCTGCATGTAAGGGTTCGGAGACGTGCCCGCTGTGTTCTACCACGGTTCTCGAGCCCGTTGTATTCCTATCATTATCCGCACCTGCGTCAGTCTCGAGAAATGGACCTTGCCTCTGGACACGTCTGTACAGATGACGTTGCTTCGTGCTGTCGTCCGCCAGCACGGAGCAGGAGCCATAGGGAGGCTGACATCCACTGTCGAGATCAGAGCTGGAATTTTCTGGAATAAAAAAACGTTGGTGCGGGAGATATGACTTGGGAATGATGGAATTGGTGGCCACCGTGTAAATTGACACGATGTCGTGTTCGAGTTCTTGACTGTACATCTGGAAGTAGCGTGGAGAGCGACCTAGGGTGACTCTTTAGACACGCGGCGCGATTGCCGTACAGCTGTCATGAGTATGATTACAGATCTCATCGACAATGACGCGCCCCGTAAAACGACATCTCATGCATGCATGTAATTCCTCACACTCTGAGCTATGTGCAGCTGCAAAAGCCATGCTACAGTGTGCAGCAGCGATGGAAAACTACGAGGCAACGTCCGATCACTGCCGAGCGATGCTAACAGCACCATAGCGTCGCTGCAGCGTCACCTAAACGACACCTCAAGCTCAAGTGTCGCTGCAGTATGGGCGTCTCTCGCTTCGAGTCTGTTGCTGCAAGTCTAAGGTGCTCTGTCGGTCAAGTACGCGACTGACGCTCCTTTGTGAAGATATTGCCCCTAATGTCATTTAACTGCAACGCCCTCGGTCTATTCCTTTTCGAGATCTATGAGGTCTTCGAGCGAGCTCTTTTCACTCGGCTCAGCAATGCACGTTGTTACAACGCTTTCAAATGTATCCTGGTCCTGACATTGCTTCCATAAGGGGTATCCTCACGGTTCATGACTTCTATTCAAGGGGTCAGCGCTTGAGCGCTGGCATGGCATGAGGCGCCGACATGTTCCTAGACTAGATGTTCGCCTTGCAGGTTTGAACTGTCCGGCCACTTCCCTGCCATTACTCATCACAGTAGCTCCACATACGCGCCCTTGTGAAACAGTTTGCACGCGGTGATATGTGGCTCAAGCTCGTGGTTGCCACCCCACGAGGGCCTAGAGGAAAAGTCTGGTTAACGGCCAATTACTCATTCTCTTTATGGTGTTGCTCAAACACGGTTCCATGTGATTAGCTCTCAATACTGCCTCGAGCAGCATCAGCTGCAAACATCGTAGATTACCTCGGGCAGACTGCCGATCGAGAATCTGGGTTCAGCGCAACCCATCAGCGCCCGCTACCACAGCGATTGTTGCATCATTCAAACTTCATCAACATCCAGTGAACAATCACGCAACTGCTTACTCCTCAGTCTATGCAGCATTCGAAACCCACACAGCAGTATGCATCGTTCACTCTCAAGTGCTCCTGCGGCCTTTGCAGGCTATACCAGACCTCGTGGTCTCAGTGCCGCGCGCCAATGTCTAGGGATAGCTCCGGCTTCCCTGACCTACGTCTACCGTTTCTAGAATGGTCAAGGTTTGCGACTATCCGGGATTCTCTGCCTGTCAGTGTGGTTCGCGACATCCGCAACATCGTAGTGTGGTCCGTGATGTACCACGCGCTTGCAATGTACATTAAGCCAGTTCAGGCCTGTGTGGGAAATCTGTCCCTCTCCTTTCGACGGTTGCGTCTGTCTCTATGTCTGCGAGCAGCGATCGCACTTACTTCAACCTGTCTCCTGCACCTTCGCGCCATCAGGGTGGCTTAGCCTTCCCCGAGGGCGGCGGCGCAAATGAGCATGGACCGGCAACCTTTCCAGGGGATATAGACATTGAACAAGGCCCTCCAGTTCTTCAGGATGCTTTTCTTCGGGCTTCTCCAGCACCCCCTTTGGAGATTATCCGTGTCTCAAGTGATCGTGACGAGACTAGCACAAGACGATCTGCGGTCAATTCACCGGTAATTCCGTGAAATCTCTTGTCATTTGCTCTACTGACATGCGATTCTGTAGGCCGTGCGCTCTGTTGGTGGATCAGACAGCAGGGACATTACATCGCTCCCCGCCATTGGCGGCAAAGAGAGGACGACAGATCCACCAGAATACATGATGGTACGTTATCGACCTTCAGGCACATCATGGTTATGACAACGCCATGTCTAAGGACGAGAAAGGACGACGGTCTGTCCCAAGAATCTCTGACGATGATGAACCCCCGGAGAAGGCAGATCCTTTGAACTATGAACATGACGTCAAGAAGTTGGAGCTCGGGGCCGTGCAGATTGACAAGGTCCAATCGGGCTCCCAACAGGTCGACGCGCCTATCTCCGTTGCAGAGGATCCTTGGGATCTCTGTGCGAAACATGTATGGGAGTACGAGAAGGCCATGGTGATTAAGTGGAAGGAGGATATTGGGAATCTACTCGTTTTCGTAAGCCTTTCTTCACTTCAGTGGCATTATCAGTGCCTGATCAACGTTTATCCTTTGGTATAGACTGGTCTATTCCTAACTATTCTCACCGGCTTCATCATTGCGTTTTATCCGATGTTGCGTCCACAGCCGCCTGATCCCACAACACAGGTCCTTTTGATCATTTCCGCACAGCTAGCTATGGTGACGGCCAGCTTAGGTCAGCCGAACCTGACTGAGCAGCAAGTCTCAGTCTTGACCGGCGTAGGCGCCACCACGCACCCGACTCCCTCCGTTCTTTCCACGGGCAACCTGTGGTTCATTGCGATGATCTGTAGCATCAGTGCTGCTGCGATTGCCATCGCGGTTGGCCAGTGGCTGCATCATTATGTGGATCGCGCATCGTCTGTGCCGCGGAAGAGCGTTCACATATGGTATTTCCGACGTCGTGGCCTCAAAGAGTGGCATATGCAGCTCATTATCGACGCTTTACCTATTCTTCTGCAAATCTCGATGGCGTTGTTTCTCGTCGGCCTCATCCAGCTGTTGTGGACCCTCGACGACATCGTCGCTGCAACCACGACAGCTCTCGTCGCACTGCTTATCCTTCCGCCCGTATTCACCATATTCATGCCTACCTTCTCGCCAGAATGCCCATACAAGTCACGCACTTCATGGTGGGCTTTCCGCCTCCTCCGTTGGTTAATCGCTTCGACAGTCAGGTGTAAAGTGAGTGTTATCGATAACTCGTGTGGGTAAAAATCTAACATGTGAGATGTTAGGTCTCGCATCCGAGGGTATGGAGCACGGGGGTAACTTCTATGCCGAACCGGATCATGCAGCTATTTGGACAGGCTCTCATGTTCATGATACAGCTATGCTGTCTGCCTTCACGGATGTTCCACGTGTGTCGGAAGCAGCTACCTACATGGATCCAGTGGTACGTGGCGGCCGCGAAGGTAGCAAACTGGAGAGAGTTCGAAGAATATGCCGTGCGCTCTCAATCTGCAACGGAACAGGAAGAGAACAGACTTCTCATGCTTGCTGAAGCGGACGAAATCGTCATGGATGACACGTTCCTTACGACAGTCGTGCAGCCCTGCCTTCGAGAGAACGGCCTTCCAAACGCCCTTCCAGTTCTCTATCGTATATTGGAGCACAGAGCGCACGAAATCGACTCCCACACGACTCCGCCTACCCTCCGATGGCACCCGAACGACCGAGACGCACCCGCGATCATCGCCATGGGAGACCTTTGCGTGGACGTCCTCTCCAAGTATCCGACGGTTCATGTAGACAATTCCGACGATGACCAAAAACGGATAATGCACAACCTTCTACATCTAGTCCGAGCGATGCCTGCGACAGATTCCGCAAGAGCAATATGCAAACGAGTAGCCGAACTTGTACAGTCGCATGGAGAAGAATGGTTCCGATGGGTCTTAAATGGAGACATTGTATCGCGCCTCCATGAGCTGTCCAGTGGTCCAAATAGTAAGTATTCATTGTTCATGAAGCCTACGTCTTGTCTCACACTAGCTGTAGCTTTCATCTTAGAATTTGTGGCAAGAGACTGGCTGAAGGGCCTCCATTTCTCTGACGCGCTGGTGCACTTCAATAAAATATTTGAGCCGCAATTACTTTTGGTTAGATCTCTTACACTGAGACGTACGACTAAAAGCTTACATATCCGACGTGTAGAATAACGACGTTCACGTAATAAAGGCTTATATCTGCATCGACATCTTCGCCGGAATCAAACGCACACAATCACATTTTTTCGACTACGATGGCCAGCAAATGCGCCTCCTGGATGAGATAGAGAGACTGCTTGCTCCCATACCTAGCACAGAAACATCGGTATACGCCCAGTTCACAGAGCTCTTGATGAAGTCAGATGTATCGCACAAAGTTCGTGCTAAACTCGCATGGAAAATCCGTATTTACAGCCACAAATTCCCACCGAATATCAAAAGTACGTATTGAATGCCCGCTACTCGTTTATATAGCCCACTGACGAGGTGCTTGACAGACACTCGGAATCTACTCACCTATCTGTGGAAAATAGACGTTGATTGCCACACGCAGAGAGTACTATGGACGTTGTCGACCGCATTGCACTTCGCTACTAGGCTACCTCAAGGCGACCTGACTCAAATCCGTAACAACGTTGTGACTGCGCTTGCTGCCACGGCCGGATACTTCAACGCGAGGCAGCTAGACTCTCTAGTCGGGGATCTGATGGAAGATGGCGGCTGGTTTTCGTTCTACACTCTGCTCTGTGTATGTGACGATCTCGTGAGAACGGGCGACAATATGTTTGCACCCGACATTGTCAGCGCATTGCAGAGATGCGCTGAGCAATGCCCCGCAGAACATGTATGGTATGAGGACATCCAACGACACATGCGGAATACTCGTGAGCTCTCCAAGGTGCAATGTCAGTGATGCGCGCGACATGCTATTCATTGTATGCTGACCGTTCTCCACCAGACCTCCCTCGAAAAGATACCGGGCAGACTCTGGTTGGAGACACACAGGCCAGTCCGGGCCTTGCCAGCTCTTCGCATGGCGGCGCCGAAAGGGCGGGGCTGTCGTATTCTGTGTTGCGCCATCATGAGACGCACTAAACGCTTTCCGACATCACCTATCAATTTAGAACATCCTAGCCAGGCAATGTTATGCATGCGGACATCCGTGTACTGTCGTGTAATAAGTAATACGATGTTTCCTTTTACAGGCGAGTATATTCTGGTCCCTAGACTACCTTTGACATGGAGCAATAGACATAAGACCTCTTAGATCAGAAAAATCTATCTAATCAGCAGCGGCAACCGAACCGAACCAAGAACCGAATGTCATGCACAAATCACTAGCTCACCGAAACTGTCCTCAAGAGGGTCATCATCTAGTGGCTTCTGAACCACCGGTGGATAAAACCTTTCCTCGTTAGCCACTTCTGCTCCGTAGTCCTCGCTCCCATCTGAGTCCTGTTCCTCATCCAAGTTCTCATCCGGGAAGAGTAAGTCGCCAAGACCAAGGTCAACACAGCGGGTCATCTTAAGCAACATGCTAAGTCCTTTGTCATTTGACGCGATGTCCGAGCCGGGGCCGTCAAGCACGGCCCACGTTTCATCGTCTAGTTCGTCCTCTGTGCGCCCCCACAGCAGCCGGACTACGCTCGAATAATTGATCCCTGCGATGACAAAGCAGACGGGGGAGCCTATGTAACGCATGACGAGGTAAGTACGAGTCCAATATGCAGCATGCGTACGGCTGCCGCGGGATCACGCACATAGACCGCTCAACTCCTGTTCCCGCAGGAGGAACGACGATGTGGAAGCGTCGTATGGGGGCAGGTGAACGTCCTCATGAGGGTTAGCCGTTAAGTCTGGTAGGACGTCGCCTAGCCTATATAGCCTGTTACAAGCAGGGCAGACGCGTGCGGCTTTTCTGCTTCTGTTGAACCACACGGTCTACGGTATCATAGTTAGTACAACTATAATGTGCAAACGAGGTGAGTTCGTACCAGTGCAGTCTCTTCCGGTAGGAACCTTGACAACATCTCCAGCATTTCTTCCTGCGCGAACTCAGCGCAGAGCGGATCGTCGAGGGATGGGGACGAAGCGAATGACGACGCGAGGAAGGCATGCATATCTCGCACTCGAGGGCCGGTTCCCGGATCGTGAATGATGGGTATCTTCGTGAACAGAGCAGGTATCGGGTCTATGTCACTGTCCTGGATGTGGTCAGGATTCCTCGGTATGCGCTTGGTATCTTCATCATAAGTGGAGAGGGCTCTCTCCTGGGGTATAACGGTTATACTAGCACGATGGTTCTGCGGTGGGATCGTGTGTGGCAGTATTGAATTAGGTGGCAGGCAATCCGAGCATCTTGTGGTATCGTTAAGAGTCGTGTGCGTTTCTTGTGAATCGTGGTCCTCGTCTCCACGAGCGTTCCCCTGGGATCGTTGAGTCTTCTTCGTCTTCGTTTGTTTCTTTTTCCTTGCGTTACGTGGCCCGGGCATCGTGATGGCGAAGTCTGGGGGAAATACAACAGGAATTTAAGCAGTCAGACAAGGGGACAACACCCTCAGTTCAGTATCGAACTTCTGAACTGTCAAGCAGGCATAAGGTGGACCGTGGTTACCGTCGGTCATTGATTGACGCACCGTCACGGACGCGAGAGGTCACGCGTTTGTCACAAAGGTGTAACAACATCCTTGGGGCTTCTCGACCAGGGCTGTCTTTTTCCACCACCTTTGAAGCTTTGAGCTTTAGAGCTTTAGAGCATCGCTCCGGTGTGTGCATGCGGTCGGGTTATACAAGACTCAGCGGCCTCACCGCACGAAGAGACTCAGGTACGTGTACTAGATGTCATGTCTCCTCGGGAACACCATTCGGATGGTGCGGCAACTGGGAATCTACACCTCTGGGGCATGGAGGCTATGCGACGCAATCTTGAAGCACATAGTGGCCTGTGTCATATTCTACCTGCGACCGATTTTCTTTCATTTCTTAAGGCTATTTCCATTGCAACCCTAGTACCGATGCTACAATATCGTATGCACTCATTGTGAGAGGTCATCATCAAGCATAGTGCGCTATTGTTGACCTTTCATTTCGATATCCTGGCTGAACCATAGCGAGCCTTGATGGCTCCGGATTGTACATTCCTCAAGTAACACACTAGAGCTCGTGCTACGATGAGAGACAGCTCAAGGGCAAGTCAGTCAATCTCCCCAGGACCGCAGCCTGCAGGGTTGCATTGACGTCGGACTTGCTGGTCGCGCTGATTACGGATACGCTGGCATAGCACCCACTCGTATTCACCACTGTCACCTCCCATGGCAAAGCCGTGCTCCCACAAGTCTCCACATCTGTCTGCCCGAGATTTGGCTCATTTCGCGACAAGACCCACTTGTAGTCTGACGGGTAGGCGCATCCGTCGATTGATGGGTAGTTGACGTTCAACGTCACGTTGGACGGAAGGACAGTGGAACCGGCAGGTGTGGCGGTGAGAATGGTTTGGATAAACTGTGACGTCAATGCTGCGTAGATTCTAGCGGATTGCGAGGATGTCGCATTGGGTTCGCTTGTGAGGGTTGTATAGGACACCTGGGAGCCGCTGTCTCCAGAGAAAGCAGCTGAGGAAATGCCTTCCTGTGCGGCCTCGCAAGCAGCCCCGCTATGAGTCATTTCAGAAACTACTCTTGCAGCTGGAGAATTACTCACACAGTCCCGGAGAAGAAAACTGAAAGGGCCAAGTTGTCTAGAGAATGGCAATGTCAGTTCCGCGTAGCATTTGTCCAACGTCCCGCATTGATGAACTGACTCCCAATATTTGGTCCGCTCACGACAAAATCGGGTGCTTCACCGTCGAAGAATTGTGGAGCGAGAGTCTGTATGCCATATCGGACTGCATCCACCCTTTTCGCTTGGTGAATCCTCTACTGTCTATTGCAGTGATGCCAGTCTTACGGGTACGCATTGACATAGTTCAAATGGGCTGTGATGAACAGTGCCCAATCAGAAGAATTCATTTCGCAACAGAAAATTGTATTCACGATCGCTCGCATTGAACCCTTCCGCAGGAGACCCTGTGGGGCAAGAATCGTACTCGCAGGGCTTGCTGAGTGGGGTGGGCGCCGTGCTTGACGATCCCTTGCCAGATTCGTTCTGAGCAGGCGCTGAGAGGACAACCTAATGACGATGTAGGAATGGCGAGCAATCCTATTATCAACGCACATCGAATCCTGCCTCCGTCAATGCAGCATACTGCGCCCGGATTTGCGCGACAGCCCAGCCGTCGTCATTGGTGAGCACCACATTCTGTACACGACTGTAGGTTTCCCCCAAGAGGGGAATGACCAGTGGGAGTATGGCAGGGACACGCATTGCTCAAGTCGTGCAATTGGCAAGCAGGCGGGCTCCGCTATGTACTCTCTTTCTGGAGCACGGTAACTTAAATGGCGATCCTATGATTACGTGTCAATTGGCTCGAACGTTTGATATACCCGTGCGCACGTTGACATCATCACGGAAGGTTCAGACACGGTCGAGCATGTGGCTCCGACGTCAGAAACATTCCCACTGTACCGCAATATTTGGATTCGGATAGTTCAGTCGGACAAGCTTCGACCTTGATCACATGGTCTCGCGATCGGTACGCGATACAGATAATGCGGCCGACTATAACCTCCGACAAGCGGGAATACCGGAGTACTGTCTAGAGCCCGTTAAGTGAGCGATCCTAGTCCTGGTATACTCACACAGTACGTGCTAGTTTGGTAAACAATCTAGGGGCAGCGCGCTCAGCCGCTCAAGCACCGCCTTCTGGCGTGTCGCATTCACGTCCGATTTCGTCCGAGCGTCCAACACCACCACGCTCACGTAGCACCCAGTTGTTCCCAGGACATCGTTCTCCGTGGGAAGCGACGTCGTCCCGCACGTCTCGATGTCCTCAGCGAATGGGTTCGCCAGGTTTCGTGCGAGCACCCAGCGTGCGTCCACCGGCTCAGCACACGCACTGATAGCCGGGTAGTTCACGCTCACAAACGTCTCCGGGGGTAGCACGGGGGCAGAGCCGCCGCTTAGGAACGTGTGAATGAACTGTGTGGTGAGTGTGGCATAAAAGTATGCAGAGAGTGTCGAGGTGGCGTTCGGCGTGCTGGCGAGCGTGGTGTAGGAGACATGCGAGCCGCTGGTGCCGCCGAATGCAACAGATGAGACGCCGATCGTTGCTGCTTCGGCGGCTGCGCCGCTGTAAGAACGTTAGAGCTGTCGCACCGTGCACATATCATGCCCCGAAGAGAAACGTACATAGTACCTGATATTTGGTTAATCAGGCCCGTGTTGGCTACGTGAACGATCGTTGGCAGTCTGCTCCGCAGGCGAATCACGAAGTTGAACTTACTTCCAATGTTAGGCCCGCTTACTACAAGATCTGGCTGGGCCCCGTGGAACAACCTTGGCGCTAGCGTCTCGATGCCGTAATGGGCCGCATCCGAACTGGTTACAGACCAACATGACACATGCAAGTGTAAGGTGGAAAGGGGCTTACGGGAACGCATTGACATAGTTCAGTCTTGCTGGATAGCACGGAAGTACTCAATAAGGCGAAACAGCGCTGCGATGTTCCACACTCGCCTTCGCTTGCATTATAACCTTTTGCCGGTGAACCTATTGGGCACGAATCATATTCGCAGGGTGTGATGTCCAGAGGAAGCGGTATCATAGTTGATGAGCCTGTGCCAGACATGTCCAGGGCCGGCGATGAAAGAACCACCTATAGAACGTTGTGGGCAAAGTGAGGGAGACAATCATAAGGAGGCCGCATGCATACCTCGAATCCTTCGTCCGTTAGTGCTGTGTATTGGGCGCGAATTTGGGCCACAGCCCAGCCATCGTCATTCGTCAGGACCAGATTCTGGGCGTATGCTGCTGCAATGCCGGATATGACGAGTATCGCACTGGGCAGGTAAGGAGCGTAGTACATGTTGGGTCAAAGAGCGGGGATCTGGCAAAGCACACCGGCCTGGGAAGCAACTCTACAGCAGATTGCTGCATATGCAGAACAAGGAGAACATTGAACGGGATATCGAGGGCCTTCATATTATCTGAACCCGCGTGGTGGCTGTGATGAGCATATGGAAACATTTGCTTTCGCCGCGCGAGCCTGAGCGGCGACTGCGTGCCTAACCGTCGCGTCGATCACGCGATCTCACGTCTGTTGTTCGGATCGATTGATCTTCTCAGGACAGAATTACTTGGTTCTAGCTTGTTGCTATGTTCCAACGTTTGTTACCCAGTACTAGATTGATTCTCTATGATCCAACACAACACAAGCATCATCTTTGCCCATCTGCACATGAACAGACTATATCCGCTATAAGCGCAGTTCTCATGAGCTCGGGAGGCAAGTGAACGGCAGCCCAATCAGCCGGAGATACACCGCAGCCTGCAAGTCTGCATCCACGTCCGCCTTGGTGGTCGCGTTCAGCACCGAAACACTGGTGTAGCATCCATCCGTTGCAACGACGTCGTTTTCGTCAGGGAGCACCGTGCTCCCACACGTCCAAAGATCCTCCTGCCCGGTGTTGGCGAGGTTCCGCGAGAACACCCACTTGTAGTCCGACGGCTTTGGGCAGGCGTCGATCCCAGGGTAGTTGACGTTTATGGTTATGCCTTCGGGGAGGAGCGGCACGCCCGGGCTGTCCTGTTCGAGGATCGTCTGCGTGTAATGCACCGTGAGCGCGGCATATATCCACGAGGACTCGGAAGACGACGCGGTCGGGTCGCTCTTGAGTGTCGTATACGAGACTTGGGCACCGGTATCGCCGGAGAACGCGGTGGACGGTACGCCGAGCTTCGCGGCTTCGCAGGCTGCACCGCTGTGGAAAAGGAAAGGGATGAGTGCATCAGAAGTGCCTGTAAGATGATTGATGTCGAGGCAGACACGTACACAGTGCCCGATTCGAGGACGACGGTGCCGAGGTTGTCTGATTAACGCAGCGGTCAGTGGCTTCGTGATGTGATAGACGGCCTGTGTACGCACTGCCGATGTTGGGGCCGCTCACGACAAAGTCGGGTTTCTTGCCGAAGAACTTGGGTGACAGCGTCTCAATCCCGTAGTAGGCGGCGTCGACGCTATATTCTTAGTCAGATACCGACAAATGCTGAAACAACCTCAACGTACGGGTACGCATTAACGTAATTTATCCGCGCTGCATTCACACAACATGAGTCAAGGCAGGAGTATTATGGCTGCGAACATACGGTTGTCGGGATCAGATCCCTCTGGTGGGGACCCGACGGGACAAGTGTCGTATTCACAAGGCTCTGTGAGCACGGTGGGCGTTGCAGTAGTGGACCCTGTTCCAGACTGGTTCTCGGAAGGACTCGAGAGCACCACCTATGCAACGCGAGCAGTCAGTCGAGATGAAAGTGGACAGCAATCTGAGAACACACGTTGAAGACAGCCCGGGTCAGCTCATCGTACTGTGCACGGATTTGTGCATCAGCCCAACCATCGTCATTGGTAAGGAGAACGTCCTTGGCAGAGATGGTGGAGATAGAGGCGAAGACAAGCGCCAGCCGCAGCCAAGCAGAGGAAAGCATACTAGCTCTGGATTGACCGGGGGATTCCTCGGACCGTCTGGAGGGACTGCAGTCTCATGCATAGTCATCGCCGCCTTTAAATCATACAGCGTAATGTCGTAAAGCGGGCTGCACGCACGTTCGTGGCCCCATCAATGTCGGGCAGTCATTGGTCAAAGCTTGTTACCACTGTTATATAATTGAACAGGAGACCATGAGTGTCCGTCGGGCTGGTTTCATCCTGGAACGTTCTTCCATAAGAACATTTTGACAGCCCAGTGTAAGGTACCGGCGAGAATAGCACGCGAAGAGCAACACGAGCTGCAAGAAGCACAAGACCGTGGCTGATCGGACGTTGGTGTACCATGTTGTTTCTCCATTCGACCAGCCTCGTTGGCGATCAATGAAATACAGATAAGTCGGCATGAACTATCTGAGCATGTCACGTACGAAGACGCAGGCGCGCAGCGTTCAACCCGGAGCAGTCTGGTTCCTGGCCGATTCTCAGAGTCGGTCGATGGCACCTCGTCATGAGCGTCTAGCGATACTGCCATACAAGCTCGTAGCGAGCTGCAGACTTCGGTTTGGAAATATGAGTATAGGCGCGAGATACAAGCCGAGCTTGTATCGCGACGTTGCTGACGATGCAGAACATGTTCATTTGTAACCGGCACAAGTCATGAAGAGCGCAAATTGTCAGTCAAAGTTACAATTATGGGCTTTGATCCTGGGTGGTTGTTGCTAACGGTTCAGCTGGCGTAAGAATCAGTCGAATGGTAGCCGAGTCAGCCGCTGATACACATCCGCATGTCCGCATCGGCGTCCGCCTTCGTGGTCGCGTTGAGCACTAAGACGCTCGTGCAGCGTCCCGCAGTGGCAACTTCACGTCGGTCTCTACGGTCGGAAGCGTCGTCATGCTGCCGCTTATTCGGATGGCCTCCTCGGGGCCGTATTGGCAAGGTTCCGCGGGAACACTCATTTGTAGTTCCCTGCTCTATGACAGCCAAAGGCCATTATAGGTTACGAGTGAGGCCACGGGTTGCGAGAAGCAGCAGAGCCTGGGCGAGCGGGGAGGTAATATGGTGCTTCCATTCGTCCTTCCAAAGGTCTCCACAGTCGCGAACTAGTCCAAGTGACCTTGCACGGGTCGTCTGTATAGCAGAAATAGATGTTGAGCGTGGACTCGGGCATATGGTCGGAGTCAAGATAGTGAACGAAAGGTTATTTGCCAGACGCTCGGCGACTGAGCGGCGTCGAAGGGCATGATGTGACCGCTTAAATCAGTATTGAACCCACTGCAACATACATAACTTATGTGAGCAAGCTCCCCGCGCCCCTTCTTCAATCTGTTGCGCTGTGCTTGTCACCTGAAGCTTAATCCAGCGAAAATTGTCGCTTGACACAGTATCATACTACTAATCCTGGGAGCTGTACGTAGGAGGACTCACAGGCTGTCATAGACGAATGTAGCGTCGGCGTCTATGGCGTCAACTCACTCTTACCGTTTACGGAAGATTAATCTCCTCAATCGGTCGGCAGCAATCACATGATTCCAGTTTTCACCTTCCCTGCTCTGCGAACGCTTCCCTAGAGAAAGATATTAGTCTCTCGACAGACACATCGTTATTACTCAAGAAGGTACAACACGGGTGTATGCCCGGTGGATCCAGCTTTCGACTCCTACGGAAAAGTCGAGCAATTATGTCTTCCCATCCATCGGCGTACGAAAGCTGGACTCGCGAGGCTCTCATCACACGACTGTCCCAACTGGAATCTCATCGCAAGCCAACGGCGGAGCCTCTCTGCAAACGGAAGGTGTTCGATTTCTCCGCGCATCCCCGTCGGAAGATCGCGCTGAAGTTCACCTACAACGGTGCAGACTACTCCGGCCTGGAGTTCCAGAAAACGCCTACCACGCTGCCGACCGTTGAGGCGGTCCTGTTTGATGCGCTGGTGCATACTCGACTCATCGACCCTGCCACCGGATTTGAGGGATGTGGATGGGAGAAGTGCGGACGGACGGATCGAGGGGTGAGTGCTGCCGGTCAAGTCATCAGCTTGTGGGTCAGAAGCGCGTTGGGGCAAGCGCGAGTACGGACATCACTCGAAGACGCTAATGTGATGGATGTTCACCCTGTCGAAGAGCAACTAAGCAGCGAGACGTCTATTGTTGATAGCGAGACTGGTCTCGAAGGCGATCTTGCCCTCATGGGCGAATGGGACGAAACACCTACAAACGCTGCGCGCCCAGCAACACCACAGGCGACGAATGAACTGCGCTACATAACTCTGCTCAACAATGTCCTCCCCCCCACCATCCGTGTCATCGCCTGGTCCCCCGTTGGGCCAGACTTCTCCGCCCGCTTCTCTTGCCGCTATCGCCATTACAAGTATTTCTTTAGCCCAGAAGGCCTCGACCTCGCGGCAATGCAAGATGCTGCGGATCGGCTCGTTGGAGAGCACGACTTCCGCAACCTGTGCAAGCTCGATCCTTCCAAGCAGCTCACGACATTCGCGCGCAAGATTCTCTCCGCGCGCCTCAACCCAGCGCAAGCCGACGGTGCCAGTACCCTCTATGTTCTCGACCTGATTGGCACCGCGTTTCTCTACAACCAGGTGCGACACATCATGGCTGTGCTTTTCCTCGTCGGCACAAAGCTCGAGCACCCCTCCGTCATTGACGCGCTGCTCAACGTTGATGCTGCCCAACCTCGCGCGCCCAGTCGTCCCGGCGAACCCTTCCCTCAAGTGATTCCGAGCAAACCAGAGTATCAGATGGCAGATCCACTTCCGCTCATGCTCTGGGAGTGCGCATATGATAAGGACACGGTCTCCTGGCGCACAGGTGACGGGCCTCTGCCCACAGAAGGGGCGGCGCTGAGCCATCGCGACCTCTCGAACAACCTGTACCACAGCGTGCACGCACTTCACCAGCGCTCCGTGGTGCAGACGGCGATGGACGCGCATTTCTTGCGTGCCGTTGCGGCGTATCACGCACCCCCACCGCAGTATTTCCCTATCGACGCTCCGGGCGTACAACCAGTACCTTCAGGGAGCGTGCTGAGTATCCCGCTGGGCGCGGGGACGGTTCGCCGCGGCGCGCGGTATGTGCCGCTGGTAGAGCGGCCCAGAGGCGACTTGGTGGAGGCCGTGAATGAGAGGTGGCGGACGGGCAAGGGCGCGAGGCAGATGGAACGGAAGGCCTTGGCTGCGCAAGCTAGCGGTCGGTCATGACCGCATCTCCACAACCTGTATGTCTGTTTGTTGAGTCCGCTGCAACGTGCTCTACGGACGTGAAGATTGACGTCTTCCGTCGATCCCCCGGCCCACGACACCCGAAGCGTGGATCGCGTCATTGTGTAACGCAAACGAGCCTGGCGGTCGTTACTGAGGCCATGCCGCTGGCTAGCCTGGACTCGCGATAAACAATCGAACGGCTGCTCGACCGCAAGACCAACGATCGCAAATCCCTGTATATCTGGTGAAGTCGGCTGTGAGACGCGCCCGTCTTGATGCGCCTCTGAGGAGAACGTCGTACATACACAACACGGGGGTCGGTTGTCCTTCGTTGATAACTGTGCATCGGTAGTACTAGATGTTACAAAAATTGTTGAAGTCAAGCCTTACTTACTGAACGTTCAATATTTCGACGCCGCGCGGTGCGGATCAATGATCGATCTAGTTTGTTGAGATGAAGTGGCGGCAGCCAGAAAGGATGTACTCCAACTTATTGGCCTGCTTTTATGGGCCAGTGTACTGCAGTCGTAGCCCATACGGCTTGCCTACGTCAATTCCTGAAAGTTGTGCATTGTCAGATGGTACGAGAACGCCTAATGGACAGCAATGAACTTTGGCAAATACTGGTAAATTCAGAGCTTTCGCATGTTCGAACGAAAGCTACAAGAACCTGTGGTGTTCATGAACAATATAGAGCTTCAAGTGATCATAGACTTGCAACCCACCGACGTTGATTCTGTGAGTGTCAAGTACTACGCTGAGATTGACATCAAGACTGAAGCAACGAGCGAAATGTAGTAAGTATGCACACCTGCTGACTCTCAGGCCATATAGCATTCAGCCTCAGGCTAGATCGAAATCGGGCGCAAAGACTGCCACAACGACATCTTCGGGAGAGGCTGATGGGACACTCCAACGACTCTCCACCGCTTCAATAGGTAACCGATGCGAAGTTCGCTCCATGCTTTGCAAAAAGATGGCGCTCTATATTATACATTACAATCCAGCCGACTACGAACATGGTCATAGCGGCTCCTCGGACACCGAAAACTGCTTTTCCTGCTCCCTCTGTTTCCGCATGGAGTCCACCGAGCCGCGACGCGAGTTTGCCGCAGTTTTCTCCACTGTGTGCACCGGCCCGGTGAACCAGTGTACCCCCCCGTATTTCGGGAAGTAGTACCAGACGAGGGACAGCACGAGCACGCCGCCCAGCACGACCTACAGAACCAAGGTAAGCATCAATGTCGTCATGTGTTCGCGCGCGGAAACGCACGATAGCGTAGTTCATGTCGGCCGTGTCCGTCTGGGGACTGGTCGGGAAAAGGAACACGATGCCCATGAAGGTCATCCAGGCCACCGCCAGGAACGCCACAGGGCCGCTGAAGCGGCCCAGATTGAACGGACCGGGCGCAAAGTCGTTCTTGCCGAGGAACCGCGCAGCAATGGGGATGGCATAGGCTAGAGTGTCATGTCAGCATACGCCCGCGATGGGAACGGAACGGAATGTGGCGTACCGACGTAGAGCGCGACCACCGACAGGGAGAAGATGGCGTTGATGGCCTGTGCGCCCGCGAACGCGAGCAGGCCGAGGAGTATGGAGAAGCCGCACGTGAACCACACGGTGTTCACGGGCGTGCCCGTGAAGCCGTTCATGCGATACAGCCAGCTGGAGAAGGGTAGTGCGCCGTCACGGGCAAAGGCGAAGCTCTGCCTCGACGCCGCGAGCACCATGCTGGAGCCCATCATGTACCTGCGAAGTATGCGTTGTCAGCGCGTGGGACGTAATTCGGGCAGGCGGCGGAACGCACTGCACCAGCACAACAAACGCCCAGATTGCCAGCGTGCCCTTTTGGCCGAAGCTGTTGAAGAAGATCTGTGCCATGGGCTGTCCGACGGAGCTTCCCATGATTGCGTCGAGGTCAGTGCCCATGCAGAAGGCAAGCGCGACGTTGATCGCTTGGGGGCACCGTTGGTTGTCAGACGATCGAAGCATGGTCTGCAGCTCGCGACTCACCCCAGCCGAGCACACCGGCAATGCCGATGGCGTACACGATTGCCCAGGGCACGGCGACGGCAGCGTTTGAGGCTTCCTCGCTGATGTGCACACTGGAATCGAACGAGCCTGTAGGAAGAGGATCAGGTCAGCACCAGCGCGTCAGGTGCAAGCGATGGTTTACGCACAGATCGTCCACAATGGGGCAAGGAAGCTCAGAATGAAAGCATAGCCGTTCGTCCAGCCATTCACTGGTCCGTGTGAGTATACTGTTCAGATGGCGAACAAAATAAAACGCACTGTTATCAAAGTTGCCAAACGCGTATGCCGCGCTGTTCCTGTACTCCGAGGGCGTTGCCGCAGGGAGAGCAATAATCACTGCCAGACAGAGCCTACCCAATAAAGTCAACCTAGACTTCTCGATTGAGAAGCATATTCACTCACAGGACGTTCAGGACAACGTAAAGAGTCTGCAGACGTGCGAGGACCTTGGTGCCCAGACAACAGATTATCGCGTGTGAGAGTACGATCGCAGTGTATACGGCACTACAACTCTTAGATGATGTTGTGGTGCATGAGGGGTAAGGACCAATACGTACAATGTCTGGCCACTTGTCGCGGAGAAGCTCTCGTTAGATCCGATGCTGGCAGCGGCCTGCGGGGCTCGTTGATAACAACGAAGGCGGCGAAAGCTACGACACGCACCATAATCTGCACTGCGCATCCCCAGTCGATTGAGGCGATGGACGCAATTGAACCGATCGTGTTCGCATCTGATCATGGCAAGAAGACATGTGAGCATTGAGAAGAGAACACGAACGCCAGTGGAGGTACATACATCCGACTATCCACGCGAGGAGGTTCCGCCATCGAGGAGACGACAACGAGTGGGTCCAGAAGTAAAGCTGTAGAACCCAGTGGGCGTAGGCGGTCAGCCCAGCCGAATGACGCCACATGGCGAGCTTGGACCTACACCGCCGGATGTGGGTGCTGCCGAGGCAAGTTCCGCCATGGACATCCCGACAAGAAGGATGAAGAAGCTCGCCACTGCCCACTACGAAGACAGCATCAGATCGAGGTATGGTCATCGAGAGATATTGCACTCACGCCCCATACCATCGCCGCGGCCCCTCCATTTGGTATTGAGTCGGACAAGACGGACCTAAGCCATGCTCAGTCGATCCTACTGCCGCACGTGAAAGCACTCACGCGATGGACGGTAGCAGCCCAATGATGCTGAACGCAATGCCAAACGTCTGTCGATCGGGAACAGATCAGCACGTTGCTCGACTCGCGGAGTCCTGCACGGAAGCAACGTTTGATCGTCCAACCAGGATTTTCACTTACTTCTAGCCCTGTGAACTCTCTCTTAAACTCCTGCTTGTAGCCCAAGCTCGCCAGCAGCTCCTCATCTGCCACAGCAATGTCCGCGCGGCGACCGCCAGCGTGGCCCTTCGCTTCGAGATCCGACATCACTACAGGTCGTGACAGTTCGTCGAGGACAAGAAGAACCGCGACTGCAGGAGACAAGAAGGAAAGGCAGATGGGGTCAGAGAAGTCCCACTGTACTTCTTATCTCCTGCTCGTCTTCTCGCGCGCGCCAGCGGACGTGGGGCGCGCAATGTGCGTATGTCTCCGCTAAGATAAGCCTGGCTGATAGACCCGTGGGGTATCGGTGTTGAAATTTGCAGCCGCTGTCATTGTGAGCAGATGTGGGCCTCACGAACCTTGTCGGTAAGACAAAGTGCCGGCAGGAGTTGCCAAACTGTAATGGAGGGGAATACCCATGATCTCGCTAGCGCTCAAGTTGCATCTAAACTCTGTGCTTCAAAGCGACTGAATACTCAAGGTGCTGGATACTCCAGGTGCATAGAACCGCAGCCTGATCACTGAGGACTTGTGATCGTGATCAAACATATGCACACAACTTCGCTGGGTTGGTGAAGCGATCCTGCAATGTATTCAGACTCGGGTGATCGAAGTCGATCTGAGATCAGCGCACACGAGTCTTTACCCGGATAATACATAGAGCCAGATCCATGCAGAGCGTAGTTCATAGAGGTGCACAACAGGAGCGTGGATAGACGGGAGTCGCCTACAAGCAAGCGTTCACGCGATCAATATAGACGGACAACAATTGGTGTGACCAGGCACACGCCGTGCACTGAACATTACCCCCTACTTGCTCTTCTCAGCTACAACCGCAACGTCCCCTTCAACGCCCCACCCTTTCTCTGCGGTGCATCTACCGTCACTCTCAGCTTGCATAGCCATCCGCACGGGTTTCTTCTTGTGAACCCCGATGAGCATTTCGATGGCTGCACAGAGTAGGAACCAGGATTCCCCAGTCTTGAGATAAGCGAGTATAAAGAAGCATGTCGATACCATGAGAACGATGACCTGAAGGAGAGCAAGGTATTGATAGGTTCTTCCACGATTTGTTGTAACTAAAGACGGCATGACGCCACCGGACGCGACGACAGCTTCTCCGCTGGGCTGGCAATGGAATGGCGAAGCTGGGGCCAAATCACTCTGCAATTGACAGTTCTGCGCGTGATAAGCGCCCTCCTTGTCCTCCAGATCAGCGGACGTCGCGGAGCGCTTATTGTACTCATCCAGGTACTCGCAGTAGATCTTGTATACGTATAGCGCCGAGCTGAGGCTTGATATGGCGGGTGTGTGGCTGGTTGCGGGGACTTGCGAAAAGCCAAGCTTACCGCCGACGAAGGGCCAAAGGCCGTGACGAGTGACCTGTCGGCGCCCTATGTCAGCCCCCCCTTCCCTGCGAGCAGTCATGCACGGAGACTCACTGCTTCCGCTCCACCCAGATCAGCGACCACGGTGTGGAGCACATAGAGGTCAATGACGCGGCCTTCGTATTGCAACGGCGACTTGCCATCCTCCGAAACGTTCCCAGCGCAAAACGTCTTGTAGGCGCTCCAGAATCTAGCCTGGGCGAGAACGTCATGTGGGTAGACTCCCCAGCGTGAAGTCTTTCCTGCGGGTACTAGAGACAACTCGTGTGCTGTGGGTGCTTGAGCGCAGCGCCTGCAGCATGTTGCACTGAGATTAGAGCGTGGAGACCTGAGCTGGTTTGGAAGACTCACAACTCGATCTCATCGGACTGTGCACGAGCCAACGCTTTCAATCGCATAATCCCCTCCCTTTCCTGCCGCGCATCCCTGAGCACACGATCCAGGTACTTCTTGCGACTTGCGAGCTCCTCGCGGAGCCGCGCCGCACGGCCCACGTATGCATCCTCCGAAAGCAACGTGCACTCCTTCTCCAGCAGCTTCAGCTTCCTCACGCTCGCGCGCACGTTGGCGCGTGCGCCCTTCACAGCACGCTTGGAGAGCGAGTAGAGCATGCACTGCATCTCTTCTGACTTCAACAGCCCGTCGCGGCGAGCGGGTTTCTCCGCTTGCCGCTCTATCAGCTGCTGGATCGTAATGCGCCGCGATGCTTGAGGCTCTGTGCATGATGTCGCAAACGAGGAAAGACTAGCCGTGGCGTTGTGCTCTAGCAGTATAGCAAGAGACGGGGTCGACAGCAGCCCGTAGGAGTCGGGTGCCTCGCCCATGCGGCTCGATGATCCCTCGATGAGCGGCGGACGGTTTGGGTACGACGACGCATTCCACCGCTCTTGTCTGCGGATTTGGAGAGGCGTCATCTTGGACGGACGCGCGAAGAGGCTCGGTCTCTCGATGGTGAACGCAGGCGAGCTGGGATGGCCCGCGAAAAGCGGCGGTGGGCCTGCTGGCGATTCGATGCCAATGGGTGCAGCGTTGGGCTGCGAGCTGGGCTAAGGAAAATATTCAGCTCAGCTCAGGGTGTCTCGGTCATAATGGTGTACACATGCCTGGGCCATAGCGATCCGGGAACTTGCAGTCAGCGTGGACAATTTCCGCTCCACTATGCTATGCCTTTCCCAGGAGTTACAATGGGCTACTAGTAGACCACGCTGATACAGAGACAGTGTGCAGCGCCCAGTAGTCAGTGACACAGCAGGCCAACCTCAGAGCTCAAGTTGAACGTTGGGCACTTTATATCCGCATCGCAAGCGCGCGGATAATACACACGTAATAGTGCACGCCGCTGATGGCACGCCAAATTATCGATGAAGAGCACCTTGAATTCGAGCGAGTCTTCAGCGCTTTCCATGATCAGTCCTCGAGCAGTTGAAGCACTAGGGACAGTCGTCTGTAATTCGTCTGTAAAGACTCGCACTCAGTATTGCTTCCGGTGGCTAAAACAATTTTCCAAATATGGCTATAACAATGCCCCGATCCTGACCGGCGCTAGTGAAACTGCTCCCACAGTTGTGATTCGTGAGCTGCGTACTTGGTACTTCATCGTCTGAATCCGACTTGTCGACACCGCTGAAGACTTGGCGGGATCAATCTGCGGACAGCGTGAGCTTGGATACATTTTACGGGCATACTACTTCCACGGCCTATCATTACATTCATCTGTAGATTAGAGTCGCTGCACCTGAAGAGCATTTATTGCTGTAGCTCTTAAGAGGATGCAAATGTGCAGATGATGGTGATGATCATGGTGTCTGGGGATTTGCTTGCGGGGAACAGCAGATCCAAAACGTTGTGATCGCCTCCTTGGTGGATGTTGGGCATCGCAATCAGATCTCTGTACGTGTTCTGAGTTTTTTTTGGATGCTCTCAGCGACTCTGATGCCACTGCCAGGCACGTATTTCGCATAGAATCCCGGCCGCCTTTGCAGGTGAGGCTACCTCTAGTATTGTCGTGTGGGCTACAGCAGCAAAACATGAAGACGGTCACGCGTGAACATGAAACTTACATCACGGTGACTCAAAGCCTTATGGCCTCGCCGGGTGCAAGCGATTTGATGGACTGGCCATTTCCGTTTGCATTACAAACTGTACAGCCTGGTCGCTTGACAACTCATGTGGACATCCCGGCGGAGGATATCCGCTTGTCAGGTCTATCACGGAGACGCGACTAGAATAAGCAAGTTTAATCATTCGTGTCGATCGTGACGTTGATGGCAAGGCACGGGTGTGTAACTCAGTGCGGTCGTGAGCAAGCACCGCTCTCCAGCTCTACCATACTTCCATCGTCTACGGGGTCCTTGATAGGCCTAGATAGATATCTTTCTCAAGGTCGTCTACTCTCATGTCGTCCAGAAGTCTATGCCTTCCCAAAACAATCCTCTAAAGACTTCGCCGTATCCTCCTTAATCCACATCGGAGCGTCATTCAGGCGTGGGTGTTCGACGTCGTGATGACTTTGATATCATTATCTTGTTTCAATATGTTGCCCTACTCCTGTGCCTAGAGCGGAGGATCGAGACCAGGTTGCCGTACGCGGCGCGGCTGTGCCCTTGAGTGCGTATAAATATTATTCCTGCAGTGTTGTCTCTGTGTCGCTGATCGTGGTCGCTCACAGCTATTGTATCCTACTCTTATTGCGCGAGGCTGCCACTATGTTCGCTACCGCTGTATTCGGTGCTCTTCTTTCGTCGCTCGCCATCAGTGAGACTGCTTCTGCAGCGGAAGTCTCGAATTGGCGGATACGAGACACGCTCTCCGTCTGTCAGGAAATAAGCAAAGCTGTTTCATCGGCATCTGCTGTGTACTATCCCCGTAAGTCTGTGCGACATCCCTCTGTTGTGCTACGCTTAACAAATTTCCCATTGCGACAGAAAACTCTTCCTACGCTGTGGATGTCGAGCATTACTTGGCTACCAGCTCACAGGAAGCCGCCTGCTCTGTCGAGCCCGGGACTCCAGAAGACGTCGGAGTGATAGTAAGATATACCCATACATTATCTGCATACTTGCCTCATATCGGGAACCTAGTTGCAAATATTGGGGAACACGCAGACCCCTTTCGCGGTAAGCACTTCTTGCATCCCTGCCGATGCTATACTCATGCTGTTGTCTCTAGGTGAAGGGTGGTGGACATGCATCTAATCCAGGCTTCTCTTCCACTACCGGTGTACAGGTTGCTATGGCACGTTTCAGTGGCGTGACATACAATTCGGGCTCGCAGACGGTAGACATTGGTGCTGGCTTGATCTGGGATGATGTCTACGCAGCACTTGAGCCTTATGAGGTCAATGTAGTTGGTGGACGAGTGACTGGGGTAGGAGTGGCTGGCTTAACACTGGGAGGAGGTATGCCGAAGTATAGCCAGGCCCCGATCCACACTGATAACTCGTTTCTCGAAGGTTACTCGTTCCTATCAAATCAGTATGGGCTCACCGTCGATACCGTGACGGCGTATCAGCTCGTACTCCCGAACGGAACGGTCAGCAGCATCACTGCTTCGTCCAATCCTGACTTGTTCTTCGCATTGAAGGTAAGACACTTTGTCGAGGGACCACTGCTAAGCTCATACATCACTTCCAGGGCGGGTTCAATAACTTCGTGAGTGACACACATGAGGGATTGGCCAAAATGTGCTAACAATCCACCCCAGGGTATTGTGACGCAATTCACTCTGAAGGCATACCCGCAGGGTCAAGTTTGGGTAAGCCTATACTATAATCGAGGTTTCAGCGTCGCCTTATATCGTAATCAAGGGAGGGATCATAGAGGCCGTGGACCAATTTGATGCAATTGCTGCGGCAACGGCGAACTTCTACGCCAACGTGACGGACGCGAAGGCTGCTATTCTCCCTACGTTCAATTTTGCCTCCAACACTGTGGGTGCGCAGTGCACGTATGAGATGCGGTACTCACTGCTTTCCTTTAGCCCATTGGTGAGGTTAGTATTTTCTACGACGGGCCTACTCCCCCGGATGGCATGTTCGACGAATTTCTGGCTATCCCGGCTTTGAGCCAGGATATCTCGACGCGCTCCTTCTTGTCCCTCATCTTGTCGGACCCTAGCAATGGCACAGCTGGCCTTCGGTTCGTCTTGTCTACCCCTCATGTTTAAGCCAGTACCATGACCGCTCTGGGTCCAGAGGATACTTCAATACCGTCTCTTTGTACGAGATTACGCCCTCTATACTTGCCGCGGTAGCGAACGAGACATTGGTAGGACTGGATCTGACTAACTGCTTATATTCTCACTCACTTCTCTACAGTACTGGGCATCCCAGCTCGAATCAGATGTCCCGGGACTCTTTGTCAGCTATGATGTGGAGCCGTTCCTTCCCAGCGTATTCTCTCATGGCTCAGACTCCGCCTGGCCGCCAATCCGCGCCAACGCCATCTTACCGATGAACATATACTATTCGTGGAACTCTTCCTCATCTGACTCGCTCATCAACAACGTCATGCAAACTAGCGCAAGCTATTTGACAAGTCTGGCAGTGAGCGAGGGTCAAGCAGTCAGCAATGCACCGCTGTACCCCAATTACGCCATTTACGACACACCATTATCTCGCATGTATGACGACAACCTATCACGACTACAGTCTATCAAGGCCCAGTACGATCCCGACAATGTCATGGGCCTTACAGGTGGATGGAAGTTCTGAGTGGAGAGCTGACTCACTAGCCATTTGCTTCAATCTATCCAACACCACGCTTCCTCTGTACACCTCACGAAATCGGCCCTTCAACAGCTCTTTTTTATGTAATGAACACGTTAATGGTCATGGCGCATCTGAAGGATGTGGTATGGGACTATCCTACTCGAATTGTGCACATACCTGCGCACTGCAAGTGCGTTTGCGGAACCGCTCATTGCGTTTATCTCTGTCGAGGCTCTTCCGAACGTGAGTCGGCTCGGGAAGAGAGAGCTGATCGCCTTCAATCGCCGGACGTTCCAGGCTTTGTGTCACAGGTCACCCACATCGTTGATCGTGACGTCAAAGTCGTACAGGCCCACAAAGACCAAGTTTCTGCTTGGTGATGCAAATGGATTACAACGTTGTCGATCGAGACATCAAAACAGGCCCGCCGCTTTCTTCAATGTGGTAGTCACTCTGTTCTCCATGAGTTCAACCCCAAAAGGGCTAGGATTTCCATTGACGTGACGCTCCCTCTGATGTTTGACAGAGCAATCTATGAATTAGAGGTGCATGGACAGTTTCTTGGCAACTACAGCAAGAGGACGGAGTTGATACGCTACAGGCTAATACACATACCATGACTGACCGCTGATCCGAGATGGCAAGTGCTTAGTGATTACGATATCAGTGGTACACTGTGATCGCCGAAGGCATTCGGGGCATTATTATCGGAAGACTGTCAGACTCCTTGTGACCTTCGTATAAATTAGTGCCGACGCTACATGAAAACACAGATATATAAGAGCGAATACGGGACGTGGCCAGTAGCTGGTTCCTCTAGTGTGTGAATTGTCCATATGGGTCTGCATAAGCCGTGCATTTCATAGTATGTATAAGTGAAAGCAAAGAACCCAGGTCGATTAGATATTGCGGGTTGTCAGTCCAGTGACAAAGCTCATCCTGGCACCGGATGGTGGCAATCTACAATGCCACATGTCAGTAGCGGCTGGAGAACATAATAACCCGTGCGACGCACGTGAACGAGCATCAGTTGAATCTCATTATGAGGAAGGGCGCAGGTGAGATGTGGCAGGTTGGCCTCTGTCATGTTTGTATAATCACGCAGTTCCTTGAAGTACCTGTTATACTCCTGCATTATTTCTGATGGGACGTGTACCGTGCTCAACATCGCAATGGTAGCTGCGACGGATCAGCACATCAGTCAGTCTATGCAACAGGCCGATGGACGCACGTCTTATCCACGTCTCCATGAGCAGCTCGATGTACTCCCTCGCCTTCTGCAGATCCTCCGCTTTGGGCGCCCTCCCGTCTATATTGGGAACGTGAGGCTTGAATTGTGCGGCATCTCGGTTGAAAGCGTAGCGCCTCTTCTCAACATCGACCGCCTGTCGGAGTAAGTGGCTAACATCACGCCTTGGCTCGTCTGCAAACTATATGGCCAAGGCTCCTCAATGCACATGGAGCAGATCAAAACTGGTGGGTCGTACCGTATGTGCTTTGGGTGCAGCACGCAGTGGGTTGGCCTTAAACGCAGATGCCATGTTGGTGAGGATATGTGGTACAAACTCTGTGAGTGTCAATAGCAGAGGGATCACACTTTCCGATGCGTGTGCACCAGGAGATGGAGGAAATGTGAGGCACAATAAAGGATACAAGCCTTTATAAGGGCGTCGACATTGACCTACGCCACAGTGGCTCGTCCCTCCTCGTGGCGGGTTTTGAAGCGCAATCAAAGCGAGTGATGGCAGTCTAATCACGGTAGTATTCCTAGACTGACCATTATCCAAGTGGCGCGAAGAACGTCCGTATACATGATGTATGCGAGTTGTGCTGCAACGCGAGGCATCAAGAAACAGGTGTTGTCGTCGAGCATGAGTTACCTATTCGGGTCAACGAGGTGATCAAGCGATCTCGAAGGCCATACACGAGCATGCAACAAAGAAAGTCGAGCGCTAAGAAGCCACGTACTACAGAACGCCTTTGCGGTCAATGAAACGTGTTGGCCAGTTGCACAGCATCCCTATCTCAAGACAGTGCTTGTATGACTATCAAAGCTGAGCTTGTCGACAAGAACTGACACAACTTTAGCTTAAGCGCTCTCACTGCTATAAACGGACCTCCTTCCTATTGGGCGCGACCACAACAAAAAAGCAATACCGCAGTGTCAGCCCCTTCAGAATGATAGGGCTGTTGAGGGTATAGAACAATCGCCGCAGGCAGTACAAGGAAGGGAGCACAAGAAAGAGTCACCAGACACTTAGACCGCGAGGCATAACAACAAAAGACAGGTCAAGGTGCAAATTGAGAGACCGCAGCTGCGAAATGCCTCAGGTTGCCCGCAAGGTTGTCCATCATCTGCAGATCTTTGTGGCCATATACCTCTCCCTTGGTCTTCAGCGCCTTCAAATGCTTTGCGAACTCAACCTGATTGAGAGCTCAGTACAAGACGTGTGAGTCGATAGCACAAGCAACGCACAGCAGCAAGGGCTTTCTTCACAAGGCGGTCAGAGTACACGCAGACAAAGCGCAGTATGTGAGCGTCGACAAGCATCGCATTCTTGTATATTTGCTCGATGATCACGTCATATTCCTTCACCGCTGCGGGAGCAACGGGCTCCATCTGCAAATTCATTATTCCAGTTGTGACGAATGAGCACAGTTGCAGACTGAATATTTCGAAAACGGGGACATACGTCTCATGAGGGTCGCCATGAGCATCTCTTTATATACTTCGGCATCGACAAGGTTGGATTTCGTAGGGGTTTGGTTTAAGGGAACTGTGGGTTTGAGGAAACAGCTGTCGACCATCGTCACGAGACGTCGCGGATGTTCATGGCCTTCCGTAGTCTTCGTCTGGCCAGTCGCACTTACATCTGGCAAGATTTAGGAGTCTATGGTTCCTTCCGGCTGTGACATCTAAGTACGTGGATCAGCTTCCGTCAAGAATACATGAAACTCCAAAGCGCACCACGTCAATGTCTATGGGAATCAGAAAGGTGATTATGGGTTTTGATGAAAGCGCAGTCAACTCTAGAGAGGTGATATAAGAGTAGACGAAGTGACAGTGGCGAAGGATTTGTGGCGTGAGCAGGAGAGGTTGTCATTGATATCGAAGCGTGGATATACAGGTTGCTGTGAATTGATAAACGAATAGAAAAGAGCCTTAACAATAATGAGCCTTTGGAGGCCATGTGCTGAAGCTGCAAGACACAACACACTCGATGCAAGATTCGCTGAGCATGCATCAAAATTGATTCTACAACGGATCCCTTGCTCGCTAGAGCAAGGCCCTGGCGGCACTTCAAGTATAGAAGCGACGCAATAGTCTAATAGCTTTAACGATCGCACTACAAGCAGCGCTCTTGTTCCACATGTATCAGGCCATCGTTGAGGAAACATGTCTGAGACAGCAACACATATGCATAGCTTCGGTACAGCGCCCCGACCGGAGCGCAGACATGTATGCGAGACGACCTAGCATCCTACCTGACAGCAGAAAAGTCTGTATATGTGTTCTCCGGCCGCTGAGACGACCGCCTATGGAAGGCAAATGGGTCTCATGATGGTGGTGGTGTCAGAGTTACGTGGCATGGATAGTGCGCTGGACAGTCCTCGACGCAGACAGAACACGTATTGGCGCCTCGTATCAGGACCTTGGTCACCTTGCTTGCATGTACTGGACGGGAGGAAGTATTTTATGCTTACGAGCTCCTTATCACATTCAGAATGCTTGTATCGGTAGATATGTAGCTGAGACAAATATCGCACAGCCTGATTGGCAGGCTACGCGATCAAGGTTTTCGGGGTCTTGCATGTCCCAAAGTGTTGACGTGGCGGGTTGGTAGTAAGGAATATAAGACCGTGTCGAGTGTCTGTGAGCGTCAGAGCACATCCACCACCATGTCCCCCCGACGCCCAACGCGGACACAGTCCCGACGGCTAGTGTCCTCACTCTCCCTTGTCTTCTTTGCTTTCCTCGCTGTCCTTCTCCTATGCCCTGTCTCGGTTAGTGCGGATGATGACAAGCGGTCTGAGTATGGGACAGTTATCGGTATTGGTAAGTCACTCTTGAACATACTTGCGCTTGGCTGTCTCTGACCAAGCCTTCTAGATCTTGGTACAACGTAAGTGCATTTGCGTGCAGCCTCAAGGTTGCATAGCTGATCCTGAACTCGTCTTCAGTTACTCTTGTGTAGGGTAAGCTACACGTATACCATGGTGACGCGCCCTGCCTGACTTTTTGCAACAGTGTACAACGAGGTGGACGCGTCGAAATTATTGCAAACGACCAAGGCCATCGTATTACGCCATCATGGGTCAGCTTTTCGGATGAGGAGCGACTGTATGTCCTGACACACGTATGCCGCTCGCATATAATTGATGTCTTGTGTTCAGTGTTGGTGACGCTGCCAAGAATGCCTACGCCTCGAACCCCGAGAACACTGTCTTTGATGCGAAGCGTCTCATTGGTCGTAAATATGACGATCCTGAGGTCAAGCGCGACCAGAAGCATTGGCCCTTCAAGATTGTTTCTAAGGGTGATAAGCCTGTCATTTCAGTGAAACACCGCGGGGAGCAACGCGACTTCGTGCGTATTGTTACTTCAATCGCAGAGCGCATGAGATTGCTGATAGTCATTGCAGACACCAGAGGAGATCTCGGCCATGGTCCTGGGCAAAATGAAGGAGACGGCCGAGTCCTACCTTGGCAAGCCTGTTACTCACGCAGTCGTCACTGTCCCCGCATGTATGTGCATCGGCATCTAGCCTTGGCGTGTTAGTGCTAATAAACGCTTGTTAGACTTCAACGACGCCCAGCGTCAGGCCACGAAGGATGCCGGTACGATTGCTGGTCTGCAGGTGCTCCGTATCATCAACGAGCCCACCGCTGCCGCCATCGCATACGGTCTGGACAAGAAGGGCGGCGAGTCGCAGATCATCGTCTACGATCTCGGTGGTGGAACATTCGATGTCTCCCTGCTCTCTATTGACGACGGTGTCTTCGAGGTGCTTGCGACCGCGGGTGACACGCATCTTGGAGGCGAGGACTTCGACAACCGTGTCATGGACTACCTCATCAAGCAGTACAAGAAGAAGTCGGGTACAGACGTGACGGGTAACCTGCGCGCGTTGGGCAAGCTCAAGCGTGAAGTCGAGAAGGCGAAGCGCACGCTGTCCAGCCAGCAGTCGACGCGTGTTGAGATTGAGGCGTTCGAGGGCGGCAATGACTTCTCTGAGACGCTTACGCGTGCGAAGTTTGAGGAGCTCAACATGGACCTCTTCAGGAAGACAATGAAGCCCGTTGAGCAGGTGCTCAAGGATGCGAACCTCAAGAAAGAAGACATTGATGAGGTAACATCTCGCGACCAAACGCATCCACCACGGACTGACCGCTCCTCGCTGGACAGATTGTTCTAGTCGGTGGTTCGACGCGTATTCCGAAGGTCCAGCAGCTCCTCAAGGAGTACTTCGGCAAGGAGCCCTCAAAAAATATCAACCCTGATGAGGCCGTCGCGTATGGTGCCGCTGTCCAGGGTGGTATCCTCTCTGGTGACGAAAACCTCGGTGACATTGTCCTCGTTGATGTCTGCCCACTCACGCTTGGTATCGAGACCACTGGTGGTGTGATGACCAAGCTCATTCCCCGTAACACTGTCATCCCCACTCGCAAGAGCCAGATGTGAGTGGTGTTTGTGTAGGCATTGATGCGATGCTGACGATGGTTCCCAGTTTCTCGACTGCTGCTGATAACCAGCAGACTGTGTTGATCCAGGTGTATGAGGGAGAGCGTTCGTTGACGAAGGACAACAACTTGCTAGGCAAGTTCGAGCTGAACGGTATCCCGCCTGCCCCTCGTGGTGTACCTCAGATCGAGGTCTCCTTCGAGATCGACGCGAATGGTATAATGAAGATCTCCGCCTCTGACAAGGGAACGTGAGTGCACTATAACTGCCGCTATGTCTGCTTGACGAATGACGAATGATTATAGTGGCAAGTCGGAGTCAGTAACGATCACGAATGAGAAGGGCCGCCTGTCGCCCGAAGAGATCGAGCGCATGGTGAAGGAGGCGGAAGACTTTGCTGCCGAGGACGAAGCGCAACGCCAACGTATCGAGGCACTCAACAGCCTCTCGACGTTCGTGTACGGGCTCAAGACACAGCTCGGGGACCAAGAGGGCCTCGGCGGCAAGCTTGACGATGCGGACAAGAAGACGATCCTGGACACCGTCAAGGAGACGACGGACTGGATTGACGACAACGGGCAGAGCGCGTCGGCGGAGGAGCTCGAAGAGAAGCTCAACGGTGAGTACCCCCATACCACATGTGCAAGACAATCATGGGTGCTGATGAGTTGCGTGCAGAGGTGCAAAGTGTTGTCAACCCCATCACGAGCAAGCTTTACTCCGGCGGCGGCGCTCCATTCAGTGCGACGCCCGACGACGAGGACGACCCGATCCGCTCTCACGACGAGCTGTAATGGATTCTTTCTTGCATTCGCTTTTCTACACTGTTTATTAGTCATTCGGGAACCAAAAATAATATAGAAGGTCCAGCTACACGAGATAGACTTGGCTTTCGAGACATCATCATCCGCGTGCTTTATTGAGTGATGGCTCGAGGAGAGGTTTTCCGCTCAGATCGAGGCCAAGATAATGTATTACCGAAGACACTGTTAGGACGTGATGTAATGTACAGAGCCCAAGAGGGGCGGATTGTGGACAGGAAAACCATTACACTGGTACAACAAACTAGCTGCAGAATACAGTACCTTCGGGCAGAGTAAAGCGGCGGAAGCTGATTAACGGGAAGAGGTGTCGTCATCCGAGTCGTAGGGCGCGGGTGGGACGCGCATCATGCGGGGAGGTGCGAGGTATAAGGGCTTGGCGGAGGTGGCTTCGGACGCCTCATCATCGTCTGTGTCGCTGGGCTCGACTACGAGGACAAGACGGAAGGCATCCTTGCCGTTGAGGTAGAAACGGAAGAGACGTTTCTCGCGGATGAAGCCGAGCGATGCATACAGCGACAGGGCGGCGGCGTTGTCATATTCAGTCTCGAGGACCACCTACAGGGACAGAGTATGTTAGTATCTCGTGTCGATGATAGGAACGAATTGGGCGGCTCGAGAAAGCACAGTGGCAGGCAGCGGTGTGCGGTCCCCTCGACCCGTCGTGCGTCCCAGAAAGTGAAGGGACAGTCGTTAAGCCTGAGCTTGCAAGTGCATGCATGTAGATGCTTCAAATTTCGAAAGACACATCAGCTTCCTGGTCAGTGTATACGGCTGCCCAAGAGCACTAGCAGAATCTGTGCTCAGACCTGCTTCCTAGGCGGTAGAGTACACAGGCGGTGGCGGGGCCAGATCCGCAGAACCGGAACTGTGCCAAGCGGCGCCTGCCTGTAACACTTCGGCCAGTCTGGCGTACGGCCGTCCAGGCTTGAGTACCGGGGGCATAGCGGAACAGAACTCTTACCTCATCGACACCGCGTAACTTCATTGCTGCAATAGACATGCGGACTAGCGTGCTCGCTGCGGTAATGCGTCAGGGGCGGGGACGGAGACAAACAAACATAGTAGGTAATTACCTATTCCGCGTTTGCGCCAGTTCTTATTTACGCTGAGCATAGCAATATACCCTCTGTTGGTGACATCTCTGTGCATGCTCTGCTTGCAGACGATGACACCTACGGGCTCGGACGAGTCGTCGGGGTAGGCCTACAAACGGCACTCATCGTACTGTCGCTGCATATCTGGTTGTTCACTCACAAGGAAAGATAGATGAGGCCTATTATAATTGTTAGCATGAGAGGCAGAAGAGATTGTACCGCGCTTACCACTGCCGCAGGAAGTAGCGGTATGTGTATATGACATACGGTTCGCTCAGTTCGTGCTGAACGAGGGACATGATGTAGGGCAGATCAGACTCGCCGGTATACTGCCGGTACACAATTGAGGACATGGTCGTGGTCGATAGGCAAGCGCTCTGAAAGAACCCGAGGAAAGAGGTCGAGACACGAGCCTAAGAGGACCACGAGGATTGTACGGCATTGGGCGCTTAGAGGACGCGACGCGTCGAGCGCGTTGAGCCACACTTCACTCACGACCATCACGAGCTCTATGGCTTCAGTCTCCCAGCTACGGTCCGGTTTACTCTCGGCTTTCAGCTCACGAGGCTTGCAAAATGGAGAGCAACAGCTCTTTCAGGAGCTCAGGGCGCACAGGGCGCTACTCATGAATATCTATGATGTCGGTCCACGGAATCAACAAGAAGAGCGCGAACTCCAGTCCGGTGAGCGCAACATCGTGTTTTTGTCGGCTCTCAGGATAACTCACTTGAAACACAGGGAAGGTCCTGATAAATGGGAGATCACTGGCAGTGAACGCTGACTTCTCGCGGCAAGCCATCTTCCTCTCCCAACAATTGGATTGCTCCGAGCGCTACATCGCTGAACTACTGCAGGATGTTATGGCTGAGAACCCAAACCTCTCTCCTGAGAGATGCGTTGAGACTGCTGTTTTGGAGCACCACACGAGACGCCGCCATCTAGCTGATTGTCTACGGTATATATACGAGGCTGCCGAGGCCGGACAGAACCACGATGCGCCAATGCTGTTCGCTCGGCTGGACGAGTTCGTTCGACAGGAGTTCCTTGCGACGCGTAGTGGACCATCATTGCCTATGAAGATATTTCAAGAAGTTCACAATTTAGGGAACGTGCTTGCAAAGGCGCAGACCGCTAGACAGAATGCGAGGAGTGATACTGTGGCGCCAACAGCACAAGGTAAGTGATCATTTAAATCCTCCCATTGGTGCCCAAGTCTGGTCTAGACTGCGTCGTACTTTATGGCTGTCCCTACACCGTTCGCCTGTCCTGTGTTGCAGACAGGGAGAGGGCTAGTTCTTTTGAGCCAGTGACTGACCCTATCAGCCCTCGGGGCCGAGCTTGAGTGTGGACTGCTCAATTGCACATGTAGTGTTCTGAAAGCCTCGAATGAAGCAAGGAGAGAGGCTCCAATGGTGACATTCTTTCCTTGGCACATTATCCTTAGCTATGCTTGGATCGGCCGATGTCATTCGTTGGGGTGTGCGTGCCGCTCCCCTTATGCCATCTGCTAACTGTGGTGTCATTAACCTGATATATCTAAGGCACCCGTTATATGAGGTCGAGCTTTCCTTCACCTAGCTGTTCCTGGTCGTGAGAAGTAATCATACTCAACTGTGTTTGTATCATGTGCAGGTAGTGCAGGCTCCCTGGGAGCTGACATCCTGAATGCTCGATGCGAATCGCTGAGGTACGAACGGCGTACCTTGGCAACAGCATTGTACTGCATAGGCCGCTTGGGCTACTTCGCACCTGACGAGATACCGAAGCTTGTCGACTGGCTGGCCGCAAATCCGCGTCATCCAATGACCCTCTACATCCTCCCGACTGTCCTCGCAGTCTTCGATGTCGTACACCCTGAATCGAGTGGCGGGAAAGCTCGCCAATTCATTGGCACAGACAAGGATTTCATGTCATTCATGAAAAGGAAACTGGACATCGGGACCATGTGGAGTGAGCCCGGACTTAAGGCCACAGTCCTGCTGAAGTGGACGCTCTTCCTCGCCGAGGCACGCCGTCGCGACCCATCGTTAGAGAACGCGGAAGGATACAAGACGGATGAACTGGAGGCGCAAGTCTGGAACGCGGTACAGGGCGACTGTTTCATATACCTCCTGCGCATGGTTGCTCTGCTTCAAAAGAGGCAGGCTGCGAATCCGCCGACATCCTTCGCCTCGGGCCTGCTCGCCCAACTCGAACAAGACCCTCCAACGGAGCTGCCGGCCGAGGATTTCAAGCCTGCAATATTGGAAGCATGTGAAGCGCTCATTCGCTCGCTGATCACCCAGGCGTCCTCAGAGCTACGCAAAATCAAGCAGCGTCAGGAAGACCTACTTCTTGCCGGCACTCGCCCAGATCGTTCAAGGACGTACCGTGCATCGCAAACTCATGCATCGTCTCGCTTCGTTCCTGGTGCATCAGAATCAGAACGACCCAATACGCCACCTCGAAATGACATGGCAGTGCTGTTCTCGCTCATTGGTCTACTATACTCCACCTTGCCACCCGAGAGGGCGGTACACTTCTGGGGCGGCGGCATTATACTGAACGGTCGCCGGTCAACATACAGTCAATATTCCGAGTCGAGCTCCGGGAAGCTCCCTGCGTTTTTGCAGTGGGCCGTATGGTCGACGCAGGCGCGAGACGTCGACATGATGATGGCACTCTACGACATGCTCGGAGGTCTGGCAAAGGGCCAGCAATGTAGCGAGCTTGCGTACAACTTCCTGGCTCGTGGAGGAGGCGATGTCGTTCCTGGCAGTTCCGTGCCTTCATCGGCCTCAACGCACCTGAGTACGAGCTCTGTTGTCTCATGGGGTTCTATCTTTGGACTGCTTGACTCTTGGGTTGTTGCTGGGTCAGGCCCTCGAACTGTCCCCGCACAGTCACAAGGGGCAGGCACGTCGCAGTCGGTGTTCACTTCCCAGACGTGGCAAGCGCCACAACCGCAGCAGCCCCTTCCGCAATTGCCGTTCACCCCACAGGATGTTTTGCTTGCTCAGTCATTCCTCCGCCTGCTGGCTACCGTCGTCACACACTCCGTCAGTGTGCGCGTGACAATCAGCGGACATGCTCGTTTCCGTGCAATCCCTACCTTGGTCTCTCTGATCCCACTCGGCATCCCGCTTGAACTGAAGGGCGCCATATTCGAGACGTTGGCCTCGTTCTGCGAACCCGGCGCCGGAGCGGCGGGAGTGGAGATCTGTCGGACTGTCTGGACCCTTATGGAGAGAATGGAGGTCATCAACGTACGCTATCATCCTGGCATGGCTGGTACGCTTCCTCCCGTCAAGGGCGTTGAGGTCGAGCTCGACGAGGTTGAAGCCGTCTACAAGATGTATCCTTCTACTATCCCCTTCCTGAAGCTGCTCAGCACCCTCATACACACGCCCAAAAGCATCCCACTGAGAGACCGCATAACTGATGCTGAGCCAGTCAACACCATTCCAGAGACACTTGGACAGCCATACCGGCAACCAGGAATCAGTCCCTTCTCGTCCTTCGTTATCGACAACGTCTTTTCGAAAATCAACTCGCGCGAGTACCTCCGACCTGCAGATCGATGGCGGACGAACGACCTGTGCTTGAGTTTCATGGAGCGATGCTTAGCCAGATATGATCTGGAGTCTCTGGTGACAAACGTGGAGGAGCTCTTACCCAAAGGCGATGCACTGCTACAGCTAGCTACCCATCCTGGGTACGATATAATGAAGCGCATCCTCACTCCTTCACCTCTCCAAACGAGCATTCTGTCATACCTCGTGGACGGCCTCGAGGGATTTGATAGAGGCCTTGCGGATGAGGAGCCGTTCTTCCGTATTACCATGGTGCGCGTGCTGAGGATCATCCATAGAGTGCTGGAAATCCAGGACATCTTCCTGGATGTCCTCATTCCACTACTTTCGGAAGCCAACGAGCCATCCACCACCGGCGAGATCCCCCCGGTGTCATATTTCAGTCGACTCGATCAAGCTCTTTCCTACTCCCCTCCATATGTCCCAGCCGTGGCGGCGTACGTCGCTTACCCCGCTTATCCAGAGCTCGTGCTCCTGAGCGTGAAGATATTGACAGCTCTTGCCGCCTCTACTTCGTTCTCTCAGTTAGCACTCTTGATCGACAGAAGCGAGGAATCGGACCGCATTCTCGATGGCTACCAGACAATCATGGACGCGGATGTCTGGGAAGATGTGGAGGTGGCAGAGAGTACGACAGAGCAGAATACTGGTGCTGGCGCTCCTGATGTCGACGAGGCTTCTGATGCACTTACCCAGGCTGTTCGTTTGGCGGTGCTCAACCTGTTCATTCAAAATACTCATTCAGATCGTCACTATCCCAACATAGCCCACTTTCTGCTGTTCGGCGGAGCCACAACTGAGGATCAGGTGCAAGATCCACATGCTCTCGGCGCTCGGCGCTCTTGCATCCACTCAATACTCGATCTTCTAAATGCGGGCGTACCTCGCCTCAGAGGCAAAGGACGGAGCCGCAGAGAACCATCATCCGCTGAACCCCTCTTTGTAACCCTTCCCGCCCTCGCTGAGCGATGCTACCACATTGTCTTCCTCCTATGCCAACACCCGCGGACTTCTGAGTTCATCATGCGTTATCTGCGCACTCGCGAGGACTTCTTCGCGCGACATCTAGCTGCTATTCCATTCAAGGCTCCGGTCGTGCAACAAGAACCTTTCGTCGAGATTGTTTATAACGATGGTTCTCGAATCACCACGACCGTGAACAACGTCGTTGCGTTCCTGCAAGTGCGTTCTTGGATCTTGGATATGGTCGCTCTAGAGCTCCACGTCCTCACGAACAAGAATCACTACAAGAGTGTCGCCGAGTTGCTGGAACTGCTTTTTGGCAACGAAGAAGAACCCCTCGAGGACGACCCCGCGAATTGGGAGTACAATGCCCTCAGGGCCTTCCATGAGGTTGGACAGTCGCATCTCAGGATGATCGAGTTCCTCCAGTCCTTGGACTTCGACTGGTCTGACAGTTTGGCTGTCCAACCTGTTGAGCTCAAGTTTCTAGCGAACCTCAACCTCCAGAGCTGCCTTCGTGTGGACGAATCTGGCTGCGAAATTGTCGATCGAACAGCATTGCTTTCTCTGTTGGCCTTGGCGCGTCACACGCTGCATACGCAGAATCGCATTGTGACATCTACCCACCTGGACGAACTCATGACAGAGACGACTTATATCATGGAAAGTTGCGCCCTCGAGAATCATCGGCGGGCCATACGCCATGCAAATGCCTGCGGTTATGAGGCCTGGAGACGAATCCTAGACATGTCTCTTATGAAGTGTTTCGAGCGGCTGCCTCACGATCGCCGAGAGAACATGCTCTTTGACTTGTTGCACGTCATACCAGCAATTCTGTGCTCATCCAACACTCAGGAGTCTACGGCTGTACTGTTGGCCGAATGCATGCTGTCAACAATCACCAAAATGCGAGAAGACAGGTACCATCAAGTGGTGGTGCAGTCTGCTGGTGGCGATGTCGACGCAAGTTCACTTCCTGCTGAGCGACTGTATGCCCTTCTGCGCAACATACTGGAGTGCATTATGCACAACAGCCATCTCGAGCTCGTCCGCGGCAACATCTATGCATCACTCATCAACTTCCTGCATCTGATGGTGTCGACAGATAGGGATCAGGACGTCGACTCAATCGCACTGGCTCTTTCTACGTCACATGCGGCTACCAGCAGGGACAACCTTAGTGTGAGCGAGCTTTCGACAGTAGTACCACCAGGGGGATCCGACGATTCGTCAACACATGCCCAGGGCTGCTCCGCGATACTGAAGTCTGTCATGGACCGACTGGTGGTAACGGTCTCGCGAGATGCCATCGATGGGCCCGAAGTATGGAGGACAGTTGCCTTCATATTGCTAGACTCGCTAGTCCGGCTATCCGAGACGGAGAAGCATCCCGCTGTTCTACAAGCACTCAGTCGCCACGGATTTCTTGCGGGCTTCGTGAGTGGATTCAAGGAGTCGGACTTGCTATTACAGGCGGTCTTGAAACCAGATCCAGGTACGCATCATCGTCTCCTCCGTGCTCGCCAACTGATAATGTGATGCGGTGCAGACGACCTGAATGCACTCTATGTATATGAAGCCAAGATGTCACTACTGATTCGCATGACCAAGACGCGACAAGGAGCCGAGCGATTGCTTGAATCCAGAGCCATCCCCATCCTTGCGGACTGCGACTACCTGGATGCCCGCCCTGAAGCCGACCAAGCATTCATCGGTGAATATCTTGATCGATGCAGTAGTTTATTGCATGGCTGACTGGCCCCATTCACAGACCGCGACTCTTTCCTGCCATCAGCTATCCAGCGCTATCATCAGCTATTCCTTCCAGCATTGCAACTTGTCCTTGGTATGCTGGTGACGCTGGGTCACCGGCACACCACTGCAGCGAATCAGGTACTTTTTTCTCTGACTGCACAGTACTGTTGAAGACATCCTAACATCGGCACACATAGGCTTTGCAATTCTTATCTGGGCATCGAGACACCATCGCATTGCTGCTCAAGAACGAATTCGACGAGCCTTCTCTGTCAGTCATGGAAGAGATCCGCCTCATTATATCCCTATGTAGCAATGTTCTTCAATTAGTGCCCAAACCGGAGCTGGTGAGCTGTCACACTATATTGAATGTATATGCTACTATACTGAGCTCATGATTAGGTATCGACCTCCGGCTTTGGTGGCATCCACTCGGCCATCCTGGGCCTTGCCTCAAGATGTCTGAGCAATCAGCACTGGTCGGATCGTGTGCAACCTCAGACCGACGCGGAACTAGCGGACGCAGGGGTGACAGGGCATGGTATGTACTCAGAATCATCCTCGCGTTCTCCTCTCATGCTGTGTGCTAGGTCTCACATCAGAAACAAAGTTCCGCTCTGCTGTCCTCGAGCACGATCGGCTGCTCAGGAGAGCGATAGTCACATATCTCGGGACGGCAAGTGAGTTCACGGGTGAGTGAAACATGCCGGCATCATCTCCGCATACGAGACTGAAGCCAGCTACCCTTCAGAGCCGGATTTGACGCTCGTATTGTCGCCAGTCGTCACGACGCCAAGACAACAGGACGAACGATCGACGCGCTACGTCGGTGAGCGCCTCCTGATGTGCCCGCTGCTCGACTGCGAATGCTGACATCGCCGGCAGCGACCGTGCCCACTGTGGGAGACGCGATCGACGCCCTGAACCACCTCTGCGACGACCTCGCAAACTCCCTCAAGCAAATCGTCGACCTGTCTGCCGAGCTCTCTGCGCGGGACTACATCAGGGTTGACAACATCGAGGAGGTAGGCCCCTCATCTCTCCGCAGCCACATCACGCATCCCTGACCCCGCGCAGATCGTGCCTGTCTCCGACCACATCGTCCTCGACAACCTCGACATGCGCCAGAAGCAGACGCTGATCAGCCGCGAGCTCGCACGCTGGCGCGCGCAAGCGACGCGTCGTGCCCGGACAACATCGGGTAGGTCTCACCAATGCCGGCCATCGCGTGTGGAGCGCCGTCTGACTCTGACTATGTCTGCAGGCTCGCTGGAGATGCTGCTGCTGCTGCTGTGGCGCCACCTCGTGTTCTACTGCGAGGGCCACCACCTCAACAACCCGGACCTCAAGGGCGCCGTGTCGCACGCCATGCGACTCGCGCTGTCGCCAGACGCAGAGACGTTACAAGCGGAGGCGGCGCGCAAGCTCGTGCCGATGCTGCAGCGTCTGCAGGCGCTCGACCTGGTGCGTCCCCAGCCTCTTTTAACCCTGTTGAGACGGCACGACGAATGCTAACGACCCACCTGGCAGTCGGAGGAGACGCTGGGACGGGACTGGCAGTCGTACGGGAGCTACATCGAGATCATGGCGCGGCGGCTGAAGGACACGGCGGGGCTGCACGACGAGCCGGCGCAGACACAAAACGGGCAGTCATAGCTCGACCCCCGGATTCGGGATGTGGGGTATGTATTATAGTGTGCGACAGCGGTGACAGCGATACGGACAGATTGTAGTCAATAGATATATATGTGTCAATATGGAGCGTGCGGTGCTCTGCTCGCGAGAGTCAAACGAGTCTGCCTCGGGACGTGGTGGCAGGCGAGTGCAAGGAGGGTATGCTAGATGGGCAGGAGGCTGCCTGCGCCGCGGAGCGCCATCTGCCCGCCGAAGCGAAGGGTTGTGACGCCGCCGGGGAAGTAGACAAGCACGTACGAGATGAGCGCGACGACCTAGCGCATGGGGGGACCCGTGTCAGCCGGGTGCCACGCCGTCGTTCGCGCGCCGATGAGAGCACAGACGCACCTGTACTATTGCGCCGAGGAGCGAGCCGATGTATGAATGCGCCTGGGGAAGACATGAGCGCGGGTCTCGCGAGAGACGCGAGCGGGACGTACCCCGAGTGCGAAGTAGAGCGTGAGGCCGAGGCTCGCGAGGTAGGCGATGGAGAACGGGAGGCGTTCTTTCGAGACGATGTGCTTGAGATGGTTCAGCGGCCCGATGAGGACCGAGAAGCTGGGCGTGCGTGTCAGGACGCGCGTGCGGGCGAGCGCAGCTCCCGCCTCTCGGAGTCTGAAGAGGAAGGCGGACGCACCCAAACATGACCAGCAGGCTCCCCAGGCTGGGACGGCGGAGGGTAAGCGTGCGACGACAGCAGCGGGGGCGGCACGGTGCGTACCTGAAGGCGAGGGCAAACTTGGCGGGCCGCAGGGCCAGGAGCGGCAGCGTAATGAAGGCGACGAAGAAGCAGACCGCCGCGCCGATCAAGCACCCGCCAAATCCGAGCAATCTTCAGGGACATCATCACAAATCCAAGGGCCGGTGGCACATATGAGTACGAAGGGAGCGTGCGGCGGAGCTGCCAGTCAGACAGGGACGTCTCTAGCCGCTAGCACGACGCGGGGCGACGCACCTCTCCCATCTGGACAGCGCAAAGTAGGCATCCTCGTCGTTCGACCGCTCTGTTGAGCGCAAGGGGATGTAGCTGCCGCCAATGGCGTTGTAGAAGCGCGCGAATCGCCCCGGGGGGGCGTCCGCTTCCTGCGCCTGTGCGCCGCCGCCGTTCTGCTGCGCCCAGCGGAACTGGGTGAGGTTGGAGTGGAAGGATTGTTCTGTTGAGTTGACCATGTTCGGGGTGGGAGCGGGTGAGGACAGAAAGCAGGAGACGGGCGTATTGTTGCGACGAGGATGGCGGGGAGGGGAGAGAGCACGATGAGGACGACGCGTTCAAATCGGCAACCATAGCCCGATCAAACGCGATCGTGCTGAGCAAAGTACAGCTGCATCCATTCAAGCTAGCTCTGGACAATAAAGTGTGCTCTAAATCATCTCATTGCTATGGTCTACTATTTCTGTGATATAGGTCTTGTCTTCAGTCGGTACTACAATCGTCTGCTAGACTGATTAGATACCATGAAGAAAGGTCTATACCGAGTGCTTCGTCTTGGGTGACTCACCCTACCACAACGCGACGAACGCGCGGTCAGGAATATCTCTAGCTGACGTCTTCAAACCATGCTAGCCAGTGCTATAGCGAAGACAATCCTCAAGCGCATTTCACCGATAGGCATTGCGAGGGCACACCCACGTTGCCCGCACAGGCGTTGAATACCTGCAGCGGGGAGTCTTTGTCCGTTTCTAGGATCCGGTAGTAAGCCACCCGGTCTCCCCTATGACCTCACCGACATACAGCTTATTGATACGCCTTGACCCACTCCATGTCCGGTAAGGCGAAGGGTCGCGAGAAGCTCCCAACCGATATAACGTCGAACGTACGCTGCGGTAGCAATTGCCCTCGCGTGTGGGCAAGCCGTGCCGCATCGAAGGCGGAAAGCAGGGGCTGGTTCATGCGTTCTCGGAAGGCAGGTCGGAGCTTGGCATCAAAACAGGACCTGAGTGTCTGGCAGTGCTCCCTCTCAGAAGCATAGCTGACTAGGTTAGCAAGACTATCCCAGCGCCGGTGCCGCAGCTGCGCCCTGCCCCGGTGCGAATGAAGCCTGAGGTCATCGCCAGCACCCCAGTCAGGTCGTGTGTTTCTGCCGTTTCTGTCTGCGGCTTCGCATCCCCCCTCATATCTGAAAAACACACGCTCAGGGTGTCTCGGAAGAATTTGTGGAGACATATGGTCGCTTGTGTGTCAATTGGTGCCGTGACGTTGCTTGGTGTAGGCGACAGCTCGCTATCTGGAGCCGATGCCATAGGCAGACAAGGCCGAGGTGTCCTTCACTTTGCCTTCTGGGGCGGCGTACGCCTGAGCCCATCACCTCCACCGTTTCAATAGTCTATCGACTCCCCGATCACCGTTTGCGGTTTCTCCGCGACAGCGTGATTGATATATTTCCCCCGAAGGGCTACAGTGGTCGTGGTCCGTTTGTCCTGGTGCTCCGATCATTCTCGGAGGGTGTCAGGGTAGCTGACGACGGTGCGGAACCAGACCACGGCACCATCTTCACCGAGTTCATGATGCGGAACACTCTTTGACCGGACGCTCTTCAAATTCGCCGTGTGCTGCTGCTGTCTATTCATGTCATGGCGGCGCGCCCGCAGATATGGCTTGTTATAGTCATACCGACTGTGTTTCATCCTGGTCCATGACGTTCAGACTGATAGCTGCCTTTTCGTATCTATGGACTCTACTTGTGAGCTTATCTTTGATGGCTAAAGACCCTGGTCTGCTCCCTTGGCCCTGCTAGCATGAGACTTCAGCTTCATTCGTTGGTCAAGAAAAAATCTTAGACAATTGCTGGTGAGTCTTGCGTCTATAGAGTCGGGTGTAGGTTTGACACGCTGTCTATCATGTAAGGATAACGTAAGGGCTTCCTGTATTGCCACTGACCGACCCCCCTGCTTATGAAGACATACCCATGTCAAGACACTATCGGCCAATACATCATCTACATTCCATGGCCACTGCCAAGATGTACGACCGCCTGTGGCGTCGGAAAGCTAGGATGGTGAAGAAAGCTAACAATGCCGTACTCGCTGCCCCGTTTCACATGGACGCACTGAACACATCACGCAACGATGCAGGATCACAGACTGGGTTGCAGACGCTTGAACTCCTTCGTGTTCTCCTCGATGGCAACCTCCGCCGGGAGCCTCTCCATGCTCGACGCGCCGAAGAACCCGTGCACCCCCTTCGTCCTGCCCAACACGTACTCCGCGTCCCCCGCCCGCGCGATCGGCCCGCCATGGCATAGCACGATGATATCGGGGTTGATCTCCACTGCCGCATCGCGGCACGCCTGGATCGTGCGCACGCAGTCGTCGAGCGACACCGCCGTCTGCGCGCCGATGCTGCCCGCCGTCGTGAGCCCCATGTGCACAACGAGCACGTCCGCGCCCGCGCGCGCCATCGCCTGCGCCTGCGGCACGTCGAACACGTACGGCGTCGTGAGCAGCCCGAGCGCGCGCGCCTCGGCGATCATCGCGACCTCGAGCGCGTACCCCATGCCCGTCTCCTCGAGGTTCTGGCGGAAAGTGCCGTCGATGAGCCCGACGGTCGGGAAGTTCTGCACGCCACAGAAGCCGGTGTCCGCGAGCTGCCGCAGGAAGCGCGGCATGGAGCGGAAGGGGTCGGTGCCGCAGACTCCCGCGAGGACGCCTGCGCGTTCCACGATGGGGAGCACCTCGTTCGCCTGTGGGAGGCCGCGTTGGATGTGGTCACGGCGGGGCGAGAGCGATGTTCAATTAAGCAGACTTACCATTTCGAGGACGATGGCGTTCGCATCGCCGTACGGCATGAGTCCCGCTAGGGAGCCTCGTCCTGCCATGCGGAAGCGCCCGCTGTTGTAGAGGACGATGAGGTCGGCGCCTCCCTTCTCGATAAATTTCGCCGAGAGGCCGATCCCTATGCGTCTAATGTGAGCGTGGCAGATTGCCTGGTGCATGCGAGAGAGTACCTGCTCCGGCTCCGAGAACTATGCTCCCCGACGCAATGGTCTCACGAAGGCGCGCAAGGGCCTCCTCTCTATTCGTAGGACGGGGCATGGTCGCTGTAGCTCGGAAAGACGCAAATGCGTCGACCAGCCGCGCCAGGCAATATCTGCCTCCGAGATATGACGCTCAAGAAGTTGGTACGTCATGTGGGACCGTCCCGGTGAGCCGTCCTGGTAAGCCGCCTTCCCGCTGCGTCACTTGCGCACAGCTACAGGCCGTCAGCTGGGAATCGTGTGGCTCACGAGAACCTCCATGATTCACATACGTGTGGATAGCGTGGTGCTGGTAAGATGAGATTTGCGTCCTTTGGCATGAACAAGTCCTTCACGCCATGACGAGCACGCTCCCCACAGTTGCGCTCATCGGCACATGCGACACAAAGTTCGACGAGCTGCTGTACGTCCACGACAAGCTCGTGCAGGAACACGGCGTCCAATGCAAGCTGATAGACGTCGGCCGCACGCCTTACTCCCACCCGTCCATTTCGTTCTCGCACGCTGAGATATTCGGAAACTCTAGGATACCTCCTCCGCCCGACCTGCTGGCCCTTCCGCGGGGCGAGCTCATCTCTACGGTCATCAAGCACACGATTCCATTAGTGCGATCGCTGTACACTTCACGCGCCATTCATGCCGCTATCTCGCTCGGAGGCAGCGGCGGCTCGTCCCTAGGTGCAGAAGTAATGCGCGCGGCACTCCCGCTCGGTTTCCCGAAACTCATCGTCAGCACCATGGCCGCAGGCGACGTGCGCCCCTACGTCGGGGAGTCCGATCTGGCCATGATGCACAGCGTCGTGGACATCGCGGGGCTGAACGACATCCTGATGCCCGTCCTCGACAACGCGGCCGGCGCCATCGCCGGTATGGCTCGAGCTCAGCACGCTCGTCTCCTCCGCGAGGCTCCACCCTCTCCTAGCACCGGCCTCCCAACGTCGGCCCCCGGCAACAGACGCATCGCCATCACCATGTTTGGGGTGACCACGCCGGCCGTAACGCATGCGCGTGCGATCCTGTCCGCCTACCCGTGCACGACGTATGTCTTTCATTGCTCTGGAGCAGGCGGGCGCGCCCTGGAGCGGCTTGCTGCCTCCGGCTTCTGGGCGGGTATCCTCGACCTTACAACGACGGAGCTTGCGGACGCCCTGCTCGGAGGCGTGCTCAGCGCGGGAGACACGCGGCTTACCGCGGCGGCCAAGGCGCGCATCCCGCAGGTGGTGTCCCTCGGCGCGCTAGACATGTGCAACTTCGGGCCACGATCCACTGTGCCTGGGAAGTACGAGCAGCGGAACTTGTTTGAACACAATCCGAGCATGACTCTGATGCGCACCTCGCCGAGCGACTGTCTGACACTGGGCAAACAAGTCGCGGAGCGCCTGAAGGATGCGGACCCTTCCATAACGGAGATATGGATTCCCAGGCGTGGAGTGAGCGCACTGAGTGTGCAGGGAGCCCCGTTCTGTGATCCCGACGCAGATGAAGCACTGTTCTCCGCCGTGAGAGAAGGACTGAGAGGCACCAAAATCCCCGTTGTGGAGGACGATCGAGATATCAACGATCCTGAGTTTGTCGAACAGATGGTGCAGAGACTTGTAGGGATGTTGAATATGCATATCCTTGAAAACGACTGACGAGAGCCATGTGGACTAGTATGGAATCCAGGAGACACGCTATCAGCCTAAAGAGATGAGTGTTACTCGGGACCACTACGACCAGCTTATGTAGTAGATGATTGGACCTTGTTATCACAATAGAGTCATCACAGTGTTCCTGCTCCGTGCACGGTGTGTCACAGCGATGGAGACGCTGACTGGTGAGGTAGGAAGACTAGATTGACATCGGAATCGGAAGAAGAGACGTGTGCGCAGCAACATCAGTACTGATACATAACAGCAATGGGTGAAATTGTCATATATCGGACCCCCAAGTACACCCTCCGCAGCCTCAGACCGTGTGGTACGGCTTGATCAACAGCGGTAGCTGGCAGCCCTTGTCCATCTCGCTGCGGACAAGAGGGCGCTGCACCGCAGTCGACTTCTTCATGATCTCCTCCGGGGGTACCGCGAGCTCGAACTCGAACGCTCGCACGAGCGCGAAAATCAGGGCCTTCATTCTATGTAGGGTTTTGCAATGATTGAGGACAATTTCGAAATCAGCTCAACTTGCGGCGATAGAAGGAGTGGAGAGACGCACTCAATGAGAGAGAAGCGATAGCCGATACAGGCGCGCGGGCCGCCCAGGAAGCTCATCTGATTCGCCCATACACCTGGAATGTGCTGTACAGCGTCGGGGACGGACTCCCAGCGCTCGGGCCTTGGACGTCAGATTAACACGACGCAGGAGACGGGGACCCAGGGAAAAATCATGCTTACTTGAATTCAAAGGCGTCCTCGCCCCAAAGTGCCTTCGATCTGTTTATGACGAGGATGGGTATGAAGATCGGGTCGCCCTTCTTTACTCTGCCGTGAGATGCCTCAGTACAAGATGGACGAACGACAATATCCAGAGCATACCTGATGCTGTCCTGCACCTGGCCGTGGACATCGACGAACGGCGTGTCGAGTGGGATCACATCATCCGTCATGGCGACCCGGATCGTCGAGGGGACGGGTGCGTGCACGCGCATGGTCTCACGGACGACGGCCTCGAGGTAGGGGAGCTCGTTCAGCTCGTCCATACTTGGGTTCTCGGTTGGGATGCTCCAGAGCTCCTCGCGCAGCTTCTGCTGTACCTCGGGAGCTTGCGTCAGCGCGTAGAGACACCAGGCCGTAGCGTTGCTCGTCGTCTCATGGCCGGCGACAAGGAAGCTAACAACGCGGTTGTACCTCAAATCCTATAGAAATAAGGGGACTGGACTTACGTCGGTACCTCTGTATCGAACAGTCAGCGTGCGCCCGTATAGACGAGGGCTTTGATCTGCTCACGAGCCAGCACGTCCTCGTCGGATAACCTGTGGCTCTCAGGAAGATCGGTAGCCAGATTTGCCTTGATCAACAGCGTCAGGAGGTCGCGGCTCTGCAGGTTATCCTTCTCCTTCTCTCCAGCAGCAGCACGTAGAATCTCTGCTTTCTTCTTGGTGATAAGTTCCATGCCCATGCGTCGCATGACCTTCCGAGCTTTTGCTATCCGTCGCGACCGACCATCCGGCTGTATTTGCGAATCGTGGACCAACCTTAGCGTTACGACTCTTGACAGAATATAGAGAACGCACGATGAGCCGGAGCGGAGGAATGAGCGCTTTAAGCAAGGGGAAGACAATCGCAAAGCCCTCGAGGGACCGGAACATGACGCTGAACGCCTGATTGAGTTCATTTGGCTTCCCATCAATGTTCAGCGAGTCAAATTCATAGTTGAAGCCTGACCACACATCTTCAGCACCAGGCAGTCTACTAGGTGAAGGCGCGGACCTGCTAGCCCAATGACATCTAGTGTCATCTTGCTAAGTCCGTTCAGGACATCAATACGAGCAGGCTCCCCGCTCTTCGAGATCTCGTTACGCCAGAAAAGGCATAGCTAGAAGGTGGGTGGGTATCTGAGCGGAGAAACGGATGCTACTCGAGAGTGTACCTTCTGCGCTTTCTCCACAAATATTTCAGTGAGCTCCCGGATCTGGGCGGGCCCAAACGCCGGGTTCTGTCGATCGGTCAATGTTACCGCTAAGTTTCAGATGTGCAAAGTCAAGCACCATTATCCTCCTCTGGTGAGTAACAAGGGCTATGTCAACGTTCTGAGGTGATACGGCGGACGGTCACATACCTGTTGACGATGCTGTTCTCCTATAAGAAATAGGTAGCCTGTCAGCTTACAGAAGTGCACGATCGACGCCCCCAGCAAACCTTCGACAATCAGGAGGCCCTCGCCCAGAACCTCGCCCAGATTATAACGCGCGAGGGCAGGCTTCTGATACTCGTTGGAGTGGCTGAGGATATAGTTCAGTGCTCGTGTGTCGACGGTGAATAACCTATTGCGCTGAGCAAGACCGCCGCTTGTCAGCACCCAGCCGTCGTGATGACCTGCGGGCTTATCCTCACCGAAAGCCACCCCTTGTATTTGATGGTATTGCCATATTTCGCGACCCAACCCTCGTGCAGGACCGAGTTCTCTGTAGCGAAGATCTCTTTCAGATTACCATACACCCAGTTAGAATTGGGAGGGCCGGGGATGTTGCGCAGAGGCGATGTAGCAATCTGGATGACCATTACAATCGCCTTCCATACAGCTACGGCGAGCGCTGCTACCCCTAAAGATATGAGAACGTTAACAGCGGTAACGGTCATGTTGACGAGTGTGCCACAAAGTCGACGGTCAGGAAAGAAATCTTGCAGCTGCAGCTACAGGGGTTTTGGTCAAGGGCTCTGGTTGATGCTCCGTTATATGACCGTGGGTGTGGAATCACCTGTGTCGGATGGGCAGTGCTATATGGAATCCCGGCCTGCGCACTGCGGCACGATTCTCATCTTACTCATATGGACAGAGTCAGTCGTCAAGTTCACATGCCAGATCCCAGTCGTAGGTAGGATCAACGTCGACGTGGAGATTTACAACGAGTAAGACAGGAAGCATCTTGAGCTTGCTAACGACAATTTCGTCAAATTCGACACGGAGCTTCCCTGAGTCGCCAAGCCTTGTCAATTGGCAACTGTTGCACCCATCCAGGTTGCAGCTACTATCAGATACGGGGTTTTGCAAACTCATGCATTGTTCCCTTCGCTCTGCTTGAACCACCACAAGGATCGTTGTTATTTCACTCAGGCATTGTTGTAAATACATGGAGGAGTAGCCATAATGAAGCTGGTGCCCATACACGAAGGACAGCCAGTGGTAGCGAGATGCCGCATTTGAGGCCTCGCATTGCAGTAGTTCTGCAAATTCTATCACGCCTGGGTCACAGCGGCAAATATAAACTCCGCTCGGCAGACGTTGCAGGACTGCAAAGTGTGCTGCCGCATCGTGCCATGATCGAGCGCGGAGTGTGAACATATCACGCTGACAGTGGCAAATGTCACGCTTGCTCTACCAGAACAACCATCGCCCACCAGCCATGTCTTCAAGGGTGAATCGGGCTGGTGTACCAGAACACACAAAGCTGTAATATAACGGATCGGATGTCTGATTGTCAAGAAATACAATGAGTGTCTCTGGATCTCGCTCATCACATGTTTGCAGAACACCTTAAGAACAGTCTGCAGGCTGTCATTTCACTTCACCTTCATTTCCTCTCAATCGCTCTTGCACATAGCGTATACTAGGTGCCTACTAGCATCTACAACAATCAAAATTAAATTTTCATGGTGTGCAGTGGAGATCACGCAGTTCTGCAAAATTGATGGGTTTTGCAAAACCCCGTATCTGATAGTACTTCCTTTGGGGAAGGGAACCGGACAAATGCTCCGGGATGCCGCGCCGCAGCAGGCATGCCGCGCGCCTGCGGAACTGCTGCAAAGCTGCAGTCGTCAACGCACAATCGACAAAAATCATACGCTTGAATCTTTACATGTGTCATGTGAATATGTGAAGTAAAACGGCACGGGTTTACAACGAAGACAGGATACACTTGCATTGTTAGAATGGGTAAAATGTATGACTCCGGCTCGGGTAAAGAAACGGGGAGTGATGGATGATGGGACAGCTCGAGGGACCACGCCTTATACGATAATCGACGAGTGATAATGCCAGAAAAGGAAAAGCGCGATGTACAGATACACAACGAGTGAGACGATACCAAAATCCGAGTACAGCTAGGAGCCTATTAAGGAACGATGCGGGACGGATTGAGTCCAAGCATCATCACGATCAGTCGTAAGCCTCCTCAGCACTTCTTCGCACAAGACGTCGGACTTTCTTCTTGTATGCTAAGGGTACAGAGAAAAGAAGTCAGCAAGAAAGCCAACTGCAGCATCAATAGAACGCGTGCCTTCGAAATTCTCTCTCACTTCCTTTGCAGCGTCGACATTTGCCGGGCTATCCAAATTCGGCGTTTCCGAGGACAGGAGAGAGATGACGCTGATTAGCTGGTGCGTCGAGCATGAGTACTTTTGTTTCGAAATCTGACATACTCCACAACACTTACAATGGACTCTACAGTGTGCACGGGAAGCCACCGCTCCCCGGATTCCTCATAACCGTACTGGTCCTCACCGGGCGGATGCTATAATAGCACAGGTAAGTGGTCAATTCGAGCCCGCAGAACGCACAGGTTGCTAGCCAAATTGAACCCACCAGGATGGAAATGCAAACACGGCCGTCGGTGTATACTGAACCAGAGGCGGGCCGTCAGTGCCTGGTAACATTACACCCAATGGGACAAGGCAACGCACTATTGGGATGCCACATTGGCGTGAGGAAGCGCATCTTCGGTGGTTGGATGGGATACTCTTCCGGGAAACTAAGCCGAGCTCGGAAGAAGCCACCCTCGCTGCGCACAGCCCATGATCAGGGCAGATTCGAGTAAAGAGCTGCATGACGCACTAAAGTGTGTCCGGAGGACTGCAAGGGACTTTCATCAGTACAAAATGCTCCATGTCGCGGAGAAGCTGAATGCCATAAGCTACACGGGCACGCACCCGATAATCATGATCTCCCACTCGAAGAAATTGTTATCATCGACGAGGCCTGCACGCACACATGCCAAAGCACACGTAGGGAGCACAGGGCATGTCGAGGAAGCAAGAAACACATGCTGTCAACAACTGTTTGCGCCATCGACGCAGGGCAACGGGAGTGCGCGCACCTGCTGAGAAACCCTCTACCGGCCGCTTGGTGAGCTCTGCGAGCTGCCGGCGCAGGAGCAGCGTATTAGACGAGGTAGTCGATGGTGCCGATGACCGCGACATTGTCGACAAGATCGTGCAAAGTGCAAGGTGCGAGAGACAAGCGGAACGTCTGAGAGGATCGATGCAGGAAAGGGATCTAATGGGCGCTTATGGTTATATAGCCCCGACGCTCTCACCGTGGGAACCGAGATAATGAAAGGCAGGATTATGCTTGTCAAGCCTCTCTGCGCGGGGCGACCAGTCGCGGCTTACTCACATTTTCTGCTCCTTGCTGGCTAGGCTTCCACTTGAGGTTCTTGGAAGCCATGATGGCAGTGGACGGTCACGACGCCGGGGACAACGAGTGGGAGAAAGCCGACCAGCCGCACTGGCGTGGGTTGGGACTTACCGATCCCATCAAAAGCGTAGAGGTACGATTCTCCGTCCGCCTACCCAATCTGGAGGGCCAGAATAGAATCAGTAATTCTCGCCAAACGTTTCAGTGATCTCAATGGCAATAGCTCGTCTTCGTTATCATTTTGGCACGAGGGCGGGGCAGAAACTACGGCGCGGAAGCTACCCAGGGCACCATGCAGGACTCGAGACGTCCGCCTTGTTACTGTCTTTCGAAGGCACATCTTTTCTGCGGATTTGCTGACGCACGCTCGGGATATCGACGCTTGCTGTTTCACCGCGCCGTCTGTTCTGCAAACCTTTTGATGAAGGTCCATTGACACGGGATTTCCGCACTCCGCTGTTTCCTATACAATGAAAGGCATGGGGTAGCCGGGTCTCCGGTTGTCAGTAACTGACGTACGTTGGTGTTTTGGTCAGGCCAGTTGCCTGACCCAGCACATCGTTCATTTCGTCAATACGCAAGATCGAGACTGTAGAATCCGAATACCTACCTGGCTGCCTTATGCATTATTGTCGACGAATGCTTGCTCGGTGGGCGTCCAGCCGCTCCATGACTTCACAAGCGAGAGTTGCAGCGAACCTTTTACTGTCGCTTTGACTTTTCCGTGTAAAATTGCGTGCATTTTTGCTCAGTCATGCTCACACGAACGCGGCTTTCCTAGGATAAATGGCTCCTGCTGCCCGCGTTCCTGAAGGTCAAGGGGCTCGTGAAGCAGCACATCGACTCGTTCAACTACTTCGTGGACGTGGACATCAAGAACATCCTCAAGGCAAACAACAAGGTCACTTCAGATGTCGACCCACGCTTCTGGCTCAAGTACACAGATATCGTAGTGGGATTCCCCGATCGCACAGACGCGGACGCGATCGATAAGAGCGTCACCCCGCATGAATGCCGGCTGCGCGACACGACGTACGGCGCGCCCATCCTCGTCACCATCCAATACACGCGCGGGAAGAGCGTTGTGCGCCGCGCCAACGTCAACATAGGGCGGCTGCCTATCATGCTCCGGAGCAACAAGTGCGTGCTAACTGGACGTAACGAAGCGCAGCTCGCACGAATGACCGAGTGCCCCCTCGACCCAGGCGGGTACTTTATAGTGAAGGGTACAGAAAAGGTCATCTTGGTGCAGGAGCAGCTGAGCAAAAACCGTATCATCGTCGAGGTCGATCCCACAAAAGGTGTAGTGCAAGCGTCATGTACATCGTGAGTTGCGTGCTACTCAAGCGTTTCTCCGGCATTGACGGGCCTGTGGTAGGTCGACGCACGGAGGGCTCAAGTCTAAGACGTACGTCGCAACCAAGAAGGGCAAAATTTATCTCCGTCACAACTCTATACACGAAGATGTGCCAATTGTGATTGCGCTCAAGGCCCTGGGTATCCAGTCTGACAAGGAGATTTTACTCCTAACTGCAGGCAACCACGAGGCGTACAAGTCTACGTTCTCTCCAAACCTAGAGGAAGCCGCCAAACTAGGCGTCCTGACACGCCATCAAGCTCTGGAATGGATCGGATCTCGCGTAAAAGTAAACCGCAGAGTGGTAGGACCAAGACGGCCAGCCTGGGAGGAGGCGCTTGAGGCGCTCGCCACAATTGTATTGGCGCATGTGCCTGTGCAAGGTCTTGAATTCCGATCAAAGGCAATTTTTGTGGCGACGATGACTAGACGTGTTTTGATGGCTATGGACGACGAGAAGATGGTGGATGACAGGGACTACGTAGGAAACAAACGCTTAGAACTGTAAGTGCGAGAACCTCGGTAATCTTGTTTTGCGGGAGCTCACCTATGGATTACAGCGCCGGGCAGCTTCTCGCGCTGCTTTTCGAGGATCTCTTCAAGACGTTCAACGCAAATCTCAAGTCGGCCATCGACAAAGTGCTCAAGAAGCCGTCCCGCACGAGCGAATTTGATGCATTCAACACGATGCAGTTTCAGGGCGACCACATCACCGCCGGCTTCGTTCGTGCCATCTCCACCGGCAACTGGTCGCTGAAGCGCTTTAAGATGGACCGCGCTGGCGTCACGCACGTTCTTAGTCGACTGTCGTTCATTTCTGCCCTCGGCATGATGACCCGAATATCGTCACAGTTTGAGAAGACGCGGAAGGTGAGCGGGCCGCGGGCGCTGCAGCCGAGTCAGTGGGGCATGTTGTGTCCGAGCGACACGCCCGAAGGTGAAGCGTGCGGGTTGGTCAAGAATTTGGCGCTCATGACACACATTACAACTGATGTGGACGAGGAGCCGATCATCCGGATCGCGTTCATGCTCGGCGTTGAGGGTGTGTATTTTGTTCCGTCATACCTGCGCCTGGGAGCTCAGGAGCTCTTTGTTTGATTTGATATTGACTTCTTCTGTGGCAGACATCAGTCTCGTCACGGGCGCGGAGATTTATGGTCCTAACACCTATGTGGTCAACGTCAACGGTGCTATTATTGGCCTCACCCGCTATCCCGCACGTTTCGTGACCAATTTCCGTAAATTACGCCGGGCTGGGCGGTTCAGCGAGTTTGTCAGTGTCTATGTTAATAACCATCACCGTACGGTCCTTATTGCAAGCGATGGTGGGCGAATTTGTCGGCCCATGATCATCGTGGACCATGGCAAACCTCGCGTTGCGACGAAGCACATTGTGGTACGATTCCTTTTTGGACACTCTCCTCAGCTTACGCTTATTTTACTTGTACAGCAACTCAAGCAAGGTCTACTGGCTTTCGACGACTTCCTCCGGAAAGGCTTGGTCGAATACCTGGATGTCAACGAGGAAAATGATTCCCACATAGCGCTCTACGAGTCTGACATCGTTCCGACCACCACGCATCTAGAGATCGAGCCGTTCACACTACTGGGCGCTGTCGCTGGCCTCATTCCTTACCCTCATCACAATCAGTCACCCCGAAATACCTATCAATGCGCCATGGGTAAACAAGCCATTGGGGCGATTGGTTACAATCAGCTCAACAGGATCGATACGCTGCTGTACCTTTCGGTATATCCCCAAAAGCCCATGGTCAAGACTAAGACGATAGAGCTGATTGGCTACGATCGGCTACCTGCGGGACAGAACGCCACTGTGGCGGTCATGAGTTATTCAGGGTATGATATTGAAGACGCGCTCATCCAAAACAAGGTTCGCCAAGCAGCGCCCTGTCTCTCGCGGCAGCAAATTGACTGATATCCTTCGTGCGCCAGGCAAGTTTAGATCGTGGGTACGGCCGGTGTCAAGTTCTCCGGAAATACGCAACGCTTATCCGTAAATACCCCAATGGAACGTGAGCATGACATAACCCCCCCTTCATCACCGCATCTAACACTGCACGGATTTAAGGTACGATCGCCTGGCAGATGCTCCGGTGGACGAGAACGGACAAGTCCAGAAGAAGTACGACATCATTCAGCTCGACGGCCTGGCCGGCGTCGGCGAACGTGTGGACCCGGGCGACGTTTACATTAACAAGCAGACGCCGACGAATGCCAATGACAATACGTTCACTGGGCAGGCCGCCACCGTCCCGTACAAAAATGCGCCCATGACATACAAGTCGCCGGTCCCCGGCAACATCGATAAAGTCATGATCAGCGACACTGAAAACGACCAAACGCTCATCAAGGTGCTCATCCGCCAAACGCGGCGGCCGGAACTAGGGGACAAGTTCTCGTCAAGACACGGGCAGAAGGGCGTCTGCGGCCTCATCGTGAACCAAGAGGACATGCCGTTCAACGATCAGGGCATCGTGCCTGGTGCGCTGTTTGACAGGACGTCTGACGCGTGCGGCGCTGATTGACTGGAATCGGCGTTGTAGACACTATAATGAACCCCCACGGATTCCCATCACGCATGACAGTTGGGAAAATGATCGAGCTCCTGGCTGGCAAGGTGCGGCGCTGCACAACAGATCTCCCCTTATCACGCGCGAGTCCGGGCTGACCATCCGTCAGGCGGGAGTGCTCGCCGGGAAGTTGCAGTACGGCACAGCGTTTGGTGGTTCCAAGGTAGGCAATCCTGGGCTCGGAACCCGGTCATCTGATGTCATGGTATCGTAGGTCGAAGACATGTCCCGCATCCTCATTGACAATGGGTTCAGCTACGCCGGCAAAGACATGTTGACTAGCGGCATCACCGGCGAGCCCCTAGAAGCATACGTGTACTTCGGGCCCATCTACTATCAGGTATGTCAGTTGCAGTCACTGGGAGGGTGGCGGCGTGCTGACGTCTGGTTTGTCCCAGAAACTAAGTATGGCTCATACCGATGTACACGTTGTGTCTCACTGACTGTTCCTTCTCAGAACACATGGTGATGGACAAGATGCACGCTCGTGCCAGGTGAGTGGTACTCCACGGCCTAGGTCCGGTTGAGAACTCACGTCGCTTGGCATTTCTATAGGGGCCCCCGAGCAACACTGACACGGCAACCAACCGAGGGCCGCTCTCGCGAAGGCGGTCTGCGCCTCGGCGAGATGGAGCGCGACTGTCTCATTGGCTACGGCGCGACGCAGCTCCTGCTCGAGCGGCTCATGATTTCGTCCGACAAATTCGAAGTCAACGCGTGCGAAGAGTGCGGTCTGATGGGCTACAACGGCTGGTGCACGTACTGCAAGAGCTCGAAGAAGATGGCGCAGCTGACGATCCCGTACGCCGCGAAGCTGCTGTTCCAGGAGGTGAGCCCGTGTGCTTCGGCTTCGGCCTCTGCTCTTGCTTCTAGCTCCGAACATGGATGGCTGACGATATTTCATGCAAGCTCATGGCGATGAACGTTGTGCCGCGCCTGGTGCTCGACGACGCCTGACAAAAGCGAGACGCGCATGCGGATAATTTATTGCATCTGCTGTTTATTTTGGCATACGACTGAGGCATCACCATGTAGATTGTACACAGACACAGATAGACATATGACACGTCCGAGTAGCACGTAGCTGCCGTCAGCCCGCTCGATCTGACACCTGACAAAGCGACAAGATCCTGTCTTGCCGTCCCTGGCATCATGGGGATTGGCCGCCGGAATTGAGCTGCGGCCTTGTGGTGACGCAGACGAGGAGATCCGAGATGATGTGGGTATGTGCGCAGCTCGTCGTATCTTGGCTGTGCAGGTGCGGCCGGGTGCACTAAGGGTGGCGCCACAACTCCGTGTGCGCGTTGCAGCAGCGGGCGCAAGCCGTTTCTTCGTGTGCCAACGTAGATGAATGATATCAACGACATGACAGGGCACGGTCATGGCGCCATTACGCACACACCCCGAGTCTTCCGTGGGCCCGATGGCAAGTGCTCAGCTCTGTGTCTTCGGTTCTATTTCTATCTCTGCCTGACTTCTCGGACGCCAGTCCGCCCACGCTGATTTGAGTTCATCTCCGTGAATGTGCGGCGATGCTCCGAATTCAAACAGCGTGATATTTGATGGAGCCGCAGGAAGGTCAATCCCGGTACGCCACGAGGTGTGTACGTACATTGTACGAAGACCTCGGGGGTCGGAAGTAAGACATTATTGGGAGAGAGGGAACACTGTTGGTCGAAGCTTTACCTGATGAAATGCATGAATGAATACGGTGATTGGGCACCTCGGGCTCGCATGGACGGTGGAGCGGACCCGTCTAGCCTTACTTTGCCTCACGAGTGTCTTCTGCTGTAATTTGTGCACCCGGAGGAACATCGCGGGCGATATGATAGACGCGAGGCCATCCTGCCATATCCGCGTCGGTCGCAGTGTAGTCCTGGCCACGGGCGCCTCGCGAGGCGCCTCATTGAATTCAGACTCTGTAGCGTACCACCACGAAGGCCGCAGAAACCATGGCTGGTCCCAGTCGCAGCAGCAGCAACACGGCCTTGCGCCGCCTCATGACCGAGTACAAGCAGCTGACCTCGCAAGGTGCGCTCGATAAGCCCCCCCGCGCGCGCGAATCGGCGTTCACGCATCGTCCGCCACGCAGGAGCCCCCGACGGGATGTTCACCGCCGGTACTGCCTAGCCTCTCCTCTCCTCGTGCGCTGAGCAGCAGGCGCTGACCACCGCTCCCCCCGTTCTCCCTCTCCTCCGCTTCCTGCCCCCTCCTGCCCGTGCCCGCTCGCCCGCCCGAAGGCCCTATCTCCGAGTCCGACTTCCTCACCTGGGAGGCGCTCATCGTCGGCCCCAAAGACACCCCCTTCGAGGGCGGCATCTTCGCGGCCAAGCTCGTCTTCGTGAGTCGCGTGCACGCCCTCTTCTCCGCCGTATCGCACCTCACCCCCGCGCGCCCGCGGCGCAGCCCTCCGACTACCCGCTCTCCCCGTTCAAGATGAAGTTCGAGCCCCCGCTCTTCCATCCCAACAGTACGTCCCCACCCTGCCTGCCCGTGCGCGCATCGCGCCATCGTGCCCCGCTCTGACGTGTGCCCCGCGCTGACGTATGTCCGGCGCCTAGTCTACCCCGACGGCAACGTGTGCATCTCCATCCTGCACGCGCCCGGCGACGACCCGACCATGTACGAGAGCGCGTCCGAGCGCTGGAGCCCCGTGCAGAGCGTCGAGAAGGTCCTCCTGAGCGTGATCTCGATGCTCGCAGGTGCGTGCCATCCCCCCCCC